TCTGGTTTGATTATTGTGGGTGTTAGCTCATTGAAAATCAATTGACGCTTAGCAATTGTGTGTGTGTGTGCTTTTGAGTCCATGTTGGGTTGGGGATTGTGTGGTGTATTAGCTAAGAATATTCTGGCTTTGTTAAATTGTGATGTGCTTTGCATGGGAACATTTCAGCAAACTTATTCAAAGTTAGTTTATCATTTTAGTATTGTTGAAACCAATCTGCACTAGGTGCCTGTGAGATTTTACTTGGGGAGGAGCGTGGGGCCATGTTCAAAGTGAGGGGGTCTGACAAAGTAGGGTTTAACAAAAGGTTGCCCTATCCAAAAACTTGAATGAAAGTGTGTTGTAGGAATCTTAGACTAAAATAGCAACAGTCATAGGAAGCAGGATTCCTGTGAATGTGTAGAGTAAAACTGCTGTATCTGTGGCCATTCAAATAAATTGAATGATCAATTGATTTAATTATCACTTGGCAAAATTATGTTGTTTAATCTCACGTGTACACGATCTGGCATGTTTTGAATTTCTTTTGCAGTCTGTTTAATCTTGCATGATTGCTTCCTTTCCTCCTTCCCTCTTGATAGTGTGTGCAGAGTGAGTTGGACATGGATACCGTTAAAAGCATCCTTGCTGAATACAAAATCCACAATGCGGACATCACGTTACGCAGTGATTCAACAGCAGATGATCTAATTGATGTAGTTGAGGGCAATCGGTAAGTGCTATTGGATGTCTAGGATACTGCTCTGAACTATTTAATATGACAAATCAATGACAGATTATTAAAAGTGATTGTTACTGCTAAGATGAGAATTCTCAATGCTGTGAGACATTTCATAGTACTTCCCAACATGTTGAAACAGTCTCAATGAGGAGTACATGATAACTGAGAAAACTTGTCAGTTGGTTCCTTAAAGTGAACCAGAGGCCATGGATAATTGTAATGAGTGATACCTATTAGTCTTCATTCAAAGTAAACTTTCTGATACAGGAAATATTGCTTCTCATTTTGGCTAACATACTGACTTTGGTGTTTTATATGCTGCAGGGTGTACATCCCCTGTATCTATGTTTTAAACAAAATTGACCAGATCTCGTTGGAGGAGTTAGATGTCATTTACAAAATACCACATTGTGTGCCAATCTCTGCTCATCACCGCTGGAATTTTGATGATCTACTCGAGAAACTATGGGATTACTTACACCTTGTACGGATGTAGGTATTGGCTGTGTGGATGGTAACTCATCAACTTATCTATTTTCTTGGGATTCTTTAGCTAAATAATCTGTTCTTATAATACAGTTACACCAAACCCAAGGGACAATTGCCTGACTACACTTCACCAGTGGTGTTACCACATAGAAAAACTACCGTTGAGGATTTCTGCATGAAAATTCATAAGAACTTAATTAAAGAGTTCAAATAGTAAGTTTTACTCTCGACTTTGTCTGGTTCAGTTCTCACCAGCAGCAGGCTTTGGCTACCTCCCCATCATAGATGAATGGCCTGGACTTAAGGTAAATGTTGAATAACAGTTCTTTTCTTTTTCTTGTTTTCAGTGCTTTGGTGTGGGGCTCCTCTGTGAAGTACAATCCACAGAAGGTTGGCAAGGACCATGTGCTGGAAGATGAGGATGTAATTCAAATAGTCAAAAAGTAAAATAGGACACATGATTTCCATCCTTGACTGATGAGCTTCTTTTCTTATTTTCCAAGTAGTGCCAAACTTCTCTTGTGCATGATAAACTCCCAATCAGTGCAGGTGTTCTGTTCTGAAGAGGATGTTATTTTACTTCACTTGACAAATAGTTTCATATGGATTGCAAAGAATGTTCTAACAATCACTTGCATAATTCTGCTAATAAAATCATACTTAGTGGCACTTAATCACAACTCTAGCTATGTAAACTTTTAAACTGCACTAGTAGCATATGTATGTTTTAAATAGTATCAAATTATGGCAGTTACAATAACTTTGTAAATCATAACTCAGACCTCTGCCACGGATGCACTGAATTAACATACCAGAGTTTTGGAAAGAGACCAAGCACTTCAGTGAATGGAGACATCAGGATGTTAGATTCAAAGAACTTCAGTTAGATGGGAAGTTAGGATTGTTAGCCTTTTGAATGCTGTGAAAAGTCAGTTGGGGGAAATGATTTTGTTGAATAGGATGAACTTTCCACTAGGAGGATAGTGGTAAACTAACATAATACTCCTGATTTGATTTAGAGTAAAGGCATGAAGACAGACCTGTAAATGTAAAACTCTTAATTGAAACTGAACTAGTAGGAAGGTCAAAAACAAAATGAATATGTCAAAAAGCAAAACTTGCAAGTGAAAAGAGACTGTGACTGGAAGCAAGTACCAATTCAGATAGAAACGTTGGACTGAAGTTAAGTTTATTACAAGCACACCTTTAGAAAGTAAAGAGGGGCTCAGTAAGGATATACAGAAGGGAATACCGTAGAACAGAGACTGGTACATGAAGTGAACATAACTGCAACATAAGGTTCCATTTAAAACAAAAACAACAAATGGAAGAGGAATATTAAAACTGGTGTAGCAAGGATGTTAATATGCAGTTCAAAAGGCTCAACACTCCCATTTTGTGATCAAGGTAGGACAGACTTCCACAAAAGTGGGTATCCACTTGTCTTTAGTCTCAGCTTGGGCTTTGTACAGCACCTGTAATTGAAGGCTAGTTTCTTCAGCCATGTTAGTACAAGATGTTTATTATGTGGACTTGGATAAGAAGAGAATGCACTATTTAAGGTTGAGGATGAAAAAACATAGTATGACAGCCTGAAGAGGGATAAACATGTTAAGTGAGTGGGTAGTAGGGAAAAAAAAGTTATGCACTTCAGAAGAAGTGTCAAATTTTATTTAACACTGCAGAAAGCATTGGAACAAAGGGATGAGAGTCCTGATGTATGAATTAAAGATATCATCAAAAGGGAATAGAGCATAGAAGTAGGCAGGTTTAGAAAACACTACAGGGAACTAGTCAAATCACAACTGGAATACTGAACAGCTTTGGATTAAAAAAGAGGAAATAAATACTGGCATTGGAGGCAGTACAGAAAAGCTTACACAGCTGGTACCAACCATGAAGGAACTATCTCGAGGCTGGATAGCTTGGGCCTGTACTTAGTGGAAACTTAAAGTGAAAGGTGACCTTATTGAGAAGCAGACAGTTGGAGGATTCACTAAGAGGGTAGATACAGAAAGGGGTGTTCCTCCTTGGAGTCTAGAACTGGAGGGTATAATCTCAAAAGGTCATATATGTTAGAAATTTTAGCATTGAGAAGCTGTAGAAGTCTTTATAACAGAGGGCTGTTGAGGCTGGTTCTTTATTTCAAGGTTAAGAGATTTTAATGATACCAAAAGCATTTAAGCATGTACTGGTTGAGGTCACAAGGTCCTATCCTAATCTTGAAGAGATGGCCATCCCATGAAACCAGCATGTCATCTGGGAACTGTGTGGAGTTTGTGTGTTCTCTCCATGGGCCAAATGGGAGAAAACTGGTGTAAATGGAGGAACCCATAGTCTAAAGATGTGCTATGCTAAAATGGCCCTGTAGCATCAGGGATGTGCAGGCTAGGTGGTTGAGTCATAGGAAATGCAGGATTACAGGGATAGGGAAGGGGGTAGGTCTGGGTGGGATGCTGTTTGGAGGCAAAAATGCAATATTTATTCAGCTAAAAATTGAATTCACACTTACACATGGTCATCAAGTTGTGTGCATTGGTGAAGAGGAAATATTAGGGTAGAATTGATGGATAACAGTCTCATTTTTGGCTGAAGAACAACTTTGATTTCCCTGCTCCCTCTTCAAGGGGGAACATACTTCCACTGTCTAAAATGGGGTTCAGGTCAGAGGGGTAGCCATAGGTACACACATGGGTGCCAGTTATGTCTAGCCCTTCATTCATATCTGGAAGAGGTGTTCCACTCCTATTCCAGACCCCACCTACAACTCTTTCAATTATAAAGAGAGATGATAGTGCCACTGCTGCATCCCTGTCTTGTCCAGATTTGGAAAAGTTCATTGATTTTGCTTCCAATTTCCACCCTGCTTTCATATTCACCTGGTCCAACTCCCTTTCCCTTGACATGTTTCCATTTCTGGGGATAAACTGGCCACTAATATCCAGTAGTAACCTGACTCCCACAGCTACCTGGACTATACATTCTCACACCCTGCTTCCTGCAAAGGCTACTCCATTCCATTGGCTCAGTTCCTCCATCTGTCACATGCGACAACAAGGTCAGCTTCGACAAGGAAACCTCCGAAACGTTCACCTTCTTCCTCAAGCAAAGATTCCCCAGCACCACTGTCAACAGGTCTGGCCCATCACCCACACTTCTGCCTTCACCTCTTCCCTCCCACAGCAGGGATAAGGTTCCTCTCCTCAGCCACCTCCAGCAAAAATGCCACGACCAGACATATTCCTCCTTTCCTCAATCATAAAACACAAATAGACCGTTCCATCCAACTAGTCTATGCTGACCATAATCCCAAACTAAACTTGACCCTCTCAATAAAAGGTCACCTGCCTGCTCCTGGCCCATATCCTGCCAAACCTTTCCTATTCACATTGAAAATTCATTTGGATTGATATATAATTATACACATATCTACCACTTCAGGAAGTTCATTCCACACACAAACCACCCTCTTAAAAACTTGGCCTCATGTCTGTAAAATCTGTCCTCTTACCTTGAAAATGTGTCCCCTAGTCTTGAAATTCCCCATTTTGGGAGAAGACAATTGCTATCAACACCTCTCATTTTAGGAACTTCTTTAGGGGTCACCTCAACCTATGCTCCAGTGAAAAATGTTCCAGCCTCTCTAACTCAAAGTTTCCATACCCAGCAGCATCCTGGTAAACTCTTCCAGCTTGATAATATCCTTTCTGTAACTGGGTGACCAGAACTGGACACGGTACTCCAGAAGAGGCCTCAAAGTCCAGAACAACCTCAACATAACGTCCCAACTCCTATACTGAAAAGGACTCTGCAATGAAGGCAAGCATGCCAAATGACTTCTTAAACCATCTTGTCCATACGTGACGCAAACTTTAAAGAACTACATATCTGCACCCCTAGGTCCCTCTGTTCTACAACACCAAAGGCCCTACCATTAATTGTATAAGCCATATCCTTGTTTGTTGTACCAAAATGCAATACCTCACTTATCCAGATTGAACTCCCATCTGCCATTTTTCAGCCCATTGACCCAATTGATCAAAGATCCCTTTGTAATCTTTGAAAACCTTCTTCACTGTCTACAGTGCCACCAATTTTGGTGTCATCCACAAAGTTACTAACCATGCCTTCTATACAAGTGATTTGGATGAGAATACAAATGACAAGAGGTCCCAGAACTGATCCTTGTGGAACACTGGTGGTCACAGGCTTCCAGTCTGAAAAGCAACCCTCCATTACTGTCTGACTGTTAAACCAATTATGTATCCAATTGTTAAGCTCACCCTGAACCCCAAGACCTAATTAGTCTACCATGCAGAACCTTATCAAAGGCTTTACTAAAGTCCAAGTAAACAAAGTCTACTGCTTTGCCATCAACTTTTGGTCACTTCCTCAAAAACCTCAATCAATTTTGAGACACTAATTTTCCCCTCACAAAACCATGCTTAATCTCTAATCAATTTTTGCCTCTCTAAACCTTTTATAATCACCTCCAATAATCTACCCACAAGCAGTCAGACTCTCTGGTCTATATAGTTCCCTGGTTTCTCCTTACAACCTTTCTTAAAACAAAAAAATGTACATTAGCCACCTTCCAGTCATCGGGCACCTCACCTGTAGTTAAGAGGCAAATATTTCTGCAAGACGTCTCCCTTATTTCCCATAACATTTTGGTATACATTAGATCAGGTCCCAACAGATTTATCCACCTTTATGTTTTAAGGCCTCCCAAACTTCCTCTTCTGTAAATGTGAACTGTTTAAAAACATCAATTTATTTGTCTGCATTCTCAACTTGATTTCTTTCTCCACAGTAAAAACTTGTCCACCTTTCCTCTGGGACATCCCGGTCCTCTTCCTTCACTCCCACCACACCTTCCCCTGCAATCGAAGGTGAAGGCCTATTCACCACCACCCCCCCCTCCCCTTAGTATCCAAGGGCCCAAACATACATTCCAGGTGAAGCAGCACTTTGGGGAAACAAAACCGACAGGGGGAACCACATCACAGAACACTTGTGTTCTGTCTGCAACAAAGACAGCTTCCAGTTCCCTGCCATTAACACACCACCTTGTACCTGGCCAACAACATCTGTCTCAGGATTTGGTGTAGTGTTCCAGTGATGCTCAGCACAAGCTGGAAGAACACCATTTTCTACTCAGGGACTCTGCAGCCATCCAGACTCAAGGAGTTCAATAATTTTAGGGCCTGAACTCTCCTGTGTCCTAGCACCCCCAACTCCACTAACCAGGTCTGGTTATCACAGTCTGCCATTACACACTACCTATGGTTAGCCACTAAGTCTCCATTAACAGCTGTTCATTCCCCTAGCCAAATCATTATCCACCCTTTTGTCTGTCCAACTGTCCTCTTGGGCTCTATCCCCACCCATTGTTTACTCCTTACCCCCTCCTCCCACCTTCTGCATGTAAACCAACATTTTCCTACCTACCAGTTCAGAGGAAGGGCCACTGGACCCAAAACATGAACTGATTTCTCTTCAAATGCTGCCAGACCTGCTGAGCTTTTTTGACAATTTTTGTTTGATTTACAACATCAGCAGTTCTTTTGGTTTTTGGGGGATTAACCATGATTAACAAAATTGATGAACTTGTAAATACCGTCCACTGCTACTTAACAGTACTTTCAGCAAGAAAAGTACAAAATAATACTTGCTAATGGGTCCAAGGCCTCTTCCCATTGAATTATCATGGAAATGTTTTGGCCTCACCTAGGTGAAAAATCCAGATGGACTTCAGTGCATCAGTTAGTGGTACGTGAAAGAGAGGGCCTGTCTGAACCCCAGTCAACGTGGAAGATCTTAGTAGGAGACCTATATTTTGGTCAACATACATCATACTGCTGCTTACTAGGTATGTGGAATTTGGCTGCTGTTCCTGCAGATAGGGAAATATTCATATAGAAATTAAATATCAGGATATGCAGAAGCATTACATATCTAGAACTTCATATTCACTTTTTTCAGTAATTCAACGCAAGATTTTTGGGGGCATGTGCAAATTGGCAGTCATGCACATTTCATTTCAGAGTTCTTTAATGCTTATTACCAAGCTCAGCCATAATACCTGTAAAACTGATAACAGCTGCTTCAGGTGATCAAGGTTATGGAACTTTTAACTCCAAGTTTAGTGGATAATACAGAACTTCTGGCACACATCAGTTTAAGATTAAAGAAACAAAAGCATGGAGATGTGAAATTTTATTTTCTTCATTTGTAAATCAATTTGTGCTTTTCCCTTCCCTAAAACAGCAAATTCCAGAAAAGTCACAGGTCTTATTTCTGAACAGTACAAAGCAATGTTCTTCAGTGTGAATGAAGGGGTTCCACATCAAATTGTATAGGGAGGGCAAGGGGATACCATGGGGGGGAAAATGAAAGCATATCAGCCACGGAACAAAGGCACACAAAATAAAGTTATTTCAGTAAATGAACACAAAAGAGGCAACACAGTGTCCATACTGGTGCTGTGGGGCTAGCACCCTCTACTGGCAAGCAACTGTCAGATTCCAGGGCCCTCAAAAAAGGTATTAACTGAAATCACCCTACACTGTCCCTTTTGTGGACATTAGACTCGAGTAGCAGAGTTGGGAAGGCTTCACACTGAAAGTATGAGAAGTTCCCAGCCCGTATTTGGGTTTCTCTCTGGTCTCACTTAGTTTCTCACACCAAAAGAAAAATTAAAGGGTCTTTTTGCCTTTCCCTGCTTCCAGTATTAAAAGGAATCTACTATATACACACACACACACACACACACACACACACACACACACAAACAAACACTCCCAGGTACAGCGATGCTTGCTTAGTTCCTACCTACTGGCAACTACCAGACTTAGGAACCACGTAGTGCATTGGAAATTAAAATTCCCACAATCTTTCATGCTGCAAAAAGAAAAAACAAAAACCTTACAAAATATATTTCAGCAAAACTGGAGCACAAGTGTCATTGCATTTGTCCTTCCAGCAGCATTTATATACATAGTCAGCCACTGCAGATGCTTATGTACAGATGTAAGCAGTGTTATTTTACACGAGTTTCTGTACACAAGGGTCTATACAATTTTTATGGCGGCTTATATGGTTTGTAAAATCCCCGAAAACCCTTTTTGGTTGCATTTTCACTGGAAAGTGAAGTGCTCATTGGGTTCTCTTAAAAGTATCCAATCTGTAATGCAGGCATTTGCCCCACAGACCTTGCTGCCCTGTTGTTTCACTGGCACAGTTGAGTTATAACCCCAGGTGGCAGTATTCAAGTAGTCGTGAACGTGTGGTCAGTCGCAAAGTCAAAATAGGGATCAAGAAATACTGGGGTAACAAAAATAATTCAAGGACACCCCCATGCTTGGACACCTGCAGGTACCTTTGTAAAACTGTTGCGCCAAATGTGTTACATGACATACTATTGATGGAGCTCAAGTTCATCCACACTTATTACTTTGCTCGGCATAGATGGTAATGGTTGCTGAAGAACATCATTGCCAAACCACTTAGAAAGATTAACTGGAGATCCACTTCTATGATGCAGGGGTCGCAGGTTGGAATTCTGCTGGTTCAGATGCAGGTGGGCTCCGGGGCCTTGGCCACCTGCACTGGGAGACTGCAACACTGAAGGGGAAAATAAAAAAGGCTTAATGTTTCACAAGCACTAGTTCAACAACTGACCAGTTTTAACTGGTCCTAGAAACAGGACCACTTCACAAGCAAACTACATCAGTTACCTGCATACAAACATCTGCAGTATTGTTTTTTCCAGCAGTGACCTAATGTATTGGAGGTGGTGCAGGAAGTGTTAAAACCCATGTACCTCAACATCAACAGCAATTACATACCTCTAGCATACAGGGTCCTAGAGTGGTCAAGGAGACTGGCAGCTCAGCAGATTGAGCGGGGTGAGAAAGTAACTTCAGAATAGTAAATTAACCAATTTTTCCAGACTAGCGACTGACTTACTTCACACTTAAAGTATGAGTAGTTAGATACCCCTGGTGGGCACTGTTAGAGAAAGCAATGACATTTAGAATTGCAAAGGAAAATTTAACATTAAAATTGGCATGTCACTGATGCTCACCACTCCCAAGCCCCAGCAAAGCTCTTCTCTTCGAAGGCCTGTGCCATGCTGTTAAGGACCCCAAGTTACCCTCCCATCCCACCCTAGTTGGAATAATTACTGGAAAGGAGCATACCAAGAAATCAAATTCAGACTTCTACTGGAATTAATTTAACCTCAGTTAGTAATGACAGCTGTAGTCTATTGCTTTGCAAAGGGTTTTTCCAGAACAAAGATGTCTCATGGTCCAGGAGTAAGGAGGCCCAGGTTTAAGTCCAAGACCCAGCTACTCCAGAAGCATGTAGCAACATTTGAACAGCTGATTAGAAAGTCTGACTCAGGGTGGGCTGCTGTTCTACTCGGACAACTGGAATGGATCACTATGCATCACTTGATTAGTACAGCAACCTTTTGGTCCCCCTAGGCCTGGAATTTCAGAACTGGTTGGGGAAAAAAGGTTAAGCACACTGCAGCAGGAATGAATTTAAAAATGCATTGGAGGGAAAGACAGCTCCATAAAAAGTAGCTGATTTGAATTGACGATTCAGAAACCCTACCAACTGGTTTGTATTAAAAAGGGCAATTAGAAATACATAGATAAAATGTTGGCCTTACCAATGACAAGCTGATCAATTCAGTTCCTGCCACAAACTTTAGTTTTGTTAGATAAATGAGAGCATGATAGAATTGATTATCTTGACTGAAATGTCCTATCATTTGAAACTTGTTTGACCTCAAATGAATTTCTGATCCCATACACAACCTATCACAAATGCTGTCAACACCCACTGACTGTAGTAAGCCAATTGGATTTTACTTTCTTCTGGGAAAGAAGTCAGATTTCTTTACCTGGTCTAGGCCTCCCTATGGTTGATTCAAAACCCCTTCTGAAATGGCTCAGAAAGCCACTCAGCTAGCGATAGGCAAAAATAAAACCCAACTACGCCCATATCCTAAAGGAAAAAGCCTGCTTCAAATGCAGAAAATCGGATTCCAGGATCTTTGAACACCAATTCTAACTGCAGTAGGTTGCTGATTGGAATGCAAAGGGGTTTCCTTTGCATAGCTGTATATTAGAGAGTTAGGGGCCAGCCTCTGTTGGGAAACTCATGGTAGCAGTGTGCGTTAGAGACATTTTAGTGACTGAAACCATACACTCTTGACTAACTTCTACCTTGCTTAAACTGGAGGTCCACCTAAACTGTTCAGTCTACCCTACTTTATCATCCAATACACATACTCAAGGCTGGGAGTGAGAAACTCATTTAATAGTCCAATTCTTATTTTCTAAAAGTCACTGCAGATTGCCCTGCCCAGTCTCAAAACAGATTGCATCTGGCTGGAAGAAGCAACATTATTCAATGAGCAGTGGCAAAGCAGCACTCACCCTCAAAACTGCCCACTGGTTCAACATCATGCACTGTGCCTTTCCTAGCATGATCTTCTATCTGGTGTCAATTCAAGAGAAATGTCTTGTACACAGCAGTAATGTCAGCAAGTTAATATAGAGACTTATATACTTCTAACAGGATTGGACAGGGTAGATGCAGGGACCATGTTCCCGATGGTGGGTGTGTCCAGAACCAGGGTCACAGTATGAAGATTCGGGGTAGACAATTTAGAATGGAGATGAGGAAACATTTCTTCACCAAAACAAAACAAAACAAAAAAAAAAAAAGCAAAAAAAAGTGGTGAGCCTGTGGAATTCATTACCACAAGAAGTAGTTGATGCCAAAGCATCAAATGTATTCAAGAGGCGAGTAGATATAGCACTTTGGGTGAATGGGATCAAAAGAGGTTATGGGGAGAAAGCAGGATGAGGCTACCGAGTTGGATGATCAGCCATGATAGTGAATAGTGAAGCAGGCTCGAATGGCCTCCTCCTGCTATGTTACGTTACTATCCAATATGGTAGTTCAAACCAGGAAAAATTAAAGTATATTAAATGTTTTAAAGCAAAAATGCTCTGATAGTGAAGTGATTGGATTAGGAGAAAGTAATTCAAGGTCAAAAAATTAGAAGTGCTAAACTTTCTACACTGAAGACAAACTTTTTGGAAGCATTAAACATGCTTAGGATAGGATAGCTGATTTTTTAAAAAGTCTGAAGCAGCTATTAAACAGATTTTTCATTCATTGTATTCAGGTGGTGGGAATGCCTTCACAGCACACTGGAGTCAGTGAGATCCAGAATTTACTGTCAGTAATCCAACCTGTTCAGCACAGACGCCTGATGCTGCAGTAGGATGAGTGTTGGTGGTTCCATCAAACCATGGCTTGTAAGAGACAAATACTGAATGAGCAGATTATTCATTTGCAAAATGGCCAGCACCACAGACAACTGCTGACATACATCTTTCAACTCGTTTATTGACAAATTGATTTTCATATTGATCACATCCTCCTCTCCAATCCTAAATATTTACTGTCACATTGCTACACCAACCATATTTTATCCTGCCAAACCACCTATCAAAGGACCCAGAATGGAAACAGAAGGCATCCTGGAGGCACAAAAAACTCAAAATATGGCTGAGAAGAGGGATGCTCTCATACAAAGTTTGCAGGTTTTTCTGAAACAAAAAAAGGTGCACATCCAGGAGGTTTGAAACCTCTAAGTAAAATGTGAAGTGGACTCATTACCTTGTCTGATCATGGCCAGGTGCTGCAAGGGTGTTGCAGAAGCCTGAATTTGTGTTGTGGAGAGTGTAGCACGAGGATTTAGAAGAGGAAGACCACTTGTTGGAAGAGGGTAGAATGTCTGCCCAAGCAGTGTTGGGGGGAGGCTTTGCAAATGTGACAGATCCATGCCTGATGGAAACATACCTGCTGGGGAGATCGAGAAGAAGTGGTTAAAAAAGGTTTCAGTCATTGGTACAGTTAAATTAAGTATAGTCTGGAGGGTTTACTGGAGACCTCTTCTTGAAGAGAACAGCAAGCTGCATTTAGATAAAGTCAATACAGAGTAGAGTGGAGGAACACAGCAGAGCAAGAAAGTTGATGTTTTGGGTCAGGGTCCTGACCTGAAACATCTACTTTCCTGCTCTTCTGATGCTGCCTGACTTGTATTCCTCCAGCTCCACTCTATTGATTTACTTCCAACATCTGCAGTTCTTGCTATCCCTTGCCTTTGGATAGGGATCAGTTCTTTACTCCACATGCCAGTACACTAACTATCCAGATTTGCGCAAGTTCAAAATTTTGTTGGGAAATGGAGTTCACAGATCATAACACTGACATGCTCCATCCAACCTGTACCAGCTAGATGGCTCAAGAGAACTGGGAGGTGCCAGATAGCACTTGAGATTCAAGGAGAGGACATCACTAACTCACTAGTTAGAAAATTATACAAACAAACATTTAATTCTGCGCTCACAATGGCTTTTACTGACTTCTCAGCTGGTCCCAAGTTAAATGAGCTGCACCGGTCTTATTCTGAAATTTAATTCCTTCCTTTAGGCTCTCCTCATGTCAAGACACTTGCACCCCAAGCCAAGGCTCAATGGCTTGGGGGGGGTGGTAGAATGGGTCTGGGTGGGATGCTCTCGGGTTTGGTATGGAATGGACTCGTTAGGCCGAAGGGCCTGTTTCCACACTGTAGGGATTCTATAAATATGTTTCTATGATGTTTCCATTCTTAATGGACTAGCAGTTCAGGACACCCAAATGTAATCCTGAGAACATTGGGCTGTGTGGCAGCTAGTGGGATTGAAATATCAACTCAATGTCAACTAGTCTCAAGAATGGCAACCATGAAACACACCATTAAAAAATCCATTCAACTCCATGTCCTGTCAGAAACAGCAAGCTGCCATCATTACTGGTTTGACAGGCACAGACCTCTGAACCACAGCAATGGTTGACTGAACTGCTCTCAAAACAGCAGGGAGAGAGAGGGAGTCACTCCGATGTGCCGAACCTTTAACAAGGCGGTTAAATCAGAGGAACAGCAGCTGTTCAAGACAGCTTGGTCATGAGGCAATTCAGGATGGACAATGATCAAAATTCTAGGTAAAAATAGAAGGAACTGTGGACATTCAAAATCAAACCAAAGCAGAAATTTCTGGAAAGCTCAGCTGGTCTGGTAGCATCTGGAGGGAAATCAGTTCTGATGAACAATCACTGGACCCAAAACATTAACTGATTTCTCTACACCGATGCTGCCAGGCCTACTGAGCTGCTCCAGTAAATTTCTGCTTTTGAGAAAGAAATTCTAGCTTTGCCCAGCATCTTTAAAGCGTACATCAAGCTGTCCTAAATAAAGACCCTCTCCACCCCTTACAACCCACTTCATACTTACATGATAGTTGGTGTTCACTTATGGTCATGCTCTCTTCCCATCTGGGTTTCCTCTTTGCCCACTTACTGTTACGTGACTGGTTCTCACTCACATCCATCTGATACGAATTGCATCTTTCTTCAAAAGAAATCTACATCCCATGGTAAAAAAAGGAACCTGGTGCTTTTAGTTTCCCTAATGTTCACCCTTGAAATGTACTTCGCCTCTAACTGAAGCATCTCAAAGTAACAATGTCACACTAACTTTTCATGGGATTGTTTGCTTCCATTTGACCTTGGCTAGCTCCATGCCACCACATTGCAACGAGCTCTCTTCCAGTTTATATCCCCTACCTTGAAATGTTCCTTGTTGTTCAGCATTGCATCTTTAAACTTGTAATGATCAACAAGTGCACCTCATTGTTAAACACCAGGCCTTGTTCTAGTTGGGCACATGCTTAGTTATGAGAGACCCTCAAGGGCTAACAGAACTATTGAAGAAAAAGCACCCAGTTCAGCAGTTTCTTTTGGTACAGAAAAAAAGGACACCTAAGTTTTAAGAGCCTAATGCCCAATTTTGTACAAAACATGCTCCAAACTCTTGCATTATGCAGTGAGTGAATACCTCCCGAGTACAATATTTCACTAACCCTGTGTCCTGGTCAGTAGTGAATCCTCTGAACTCAAGTTTAGAAAACAGGATTAATACCTCCCTGGTTTAAACCCAGGATTAAAATACTGAATTGCTCGCTCACCTGTATGTAGAAGTGCTGGATGTAACTGTTGTGGTGACACTCCTTGTGCCAGCATTCTCTGGACTAGACCGGGTGGTAAGTGAGGAGGAGACTGGCGCACAAGTGGAACATGTGACATAATGGGCACAGGACAAATGGGCCTTGGAAAAGGGGATCCAGGAACTGGAGAAGCTCTGGTAGGTGTTTTCCTTCCTGTGGATCTGGGCCTGTAGTCTTGGTCTTTGGTGAAACGCATCTGGTTTAACTGGGGAGTCGTACAAGCTGATCTGTGGTAAGTCGATCTTGTCCCTCCGACTGGAGATGCCCCTCGGTCAGTGTTTTCCATTGGAGAGCCAGAAGACAGATGATCTGCAGGAGCCAGTACAGTATTCAATATTAAAACATCTGGCTCAAAACACTTAATCATGTTCCATCAAAAACCAAATCTACCTTTTGGCTTGGTGTTTTTTTTCTTGCAGGGAGCAGAGGAGGGTTGAATTTTGTACACAAAATGATGTGAAGCCCAGGATTGAGTGCATATTCAGAAAGCCAGCATACAGACAGATACAGAAAGATTGTATTAGGTCCCATTAAAAAGGGAACCAGATGCAAGCTTAGAACACCAGTACTTTTTAAAATTGATAGAAGAGAGAATGTTGCCAACACAGTTGGGAGGAAAAAAAAAAAAAAAAGGAGAATACAGAAGGACAGTTCTAGAAGCAGCTATGCTGAGAACAGGTGAGTCAGTGGTTAGGACAGCTTGAATCAACAGTTGCTTAAAAGGAAGTAGGAGTGAAGCTAGGAGGACAGCTTGCCATGGTCTATTTTCATCCGTTATTGGAAAGATGCAGGAAGGGCAGCAAATAAAAGAAAGTGTCACCATCTCGAAAAAGGAGAAAGGACAAATTTCCAGTAACAGGCTAGTCAGTTATTTCTGAAAGCTTAGCCTGGTGAAAGTTAAAATCAAGAGGGCAGCATGCATTTAGAACAGTGCTGGGTCAATCTGTTTTACCAACTTTAGTTGAACTTGATCAAGTCTCAGAAACTGGAAGTAAAAAAAAAAGTGATGTTGCCTAGGTCAAAGAGGTTAAGTATATTCAAGGCCAAGACAGATTTGTAATCATAAGGAAATCAAGCATAATTGGGGGGGGTGGGGCGTGGAAAAAGAGGAGAAGGCAAGAAAGTAGTGTCGAGGGAATTTAATGAATGGTAGAACAGACTCAAATGGGCTGAATGGCCTTCTTCTGCTCCTGTTTCTAAAAGATCCAATGGACCCTTGAAAACAAGGCTCATGAACCAGGAGCTTCAGCGTCAACATTGGATTAAAAATGGCAAAGGCTATAAAATAATCAGTAGCAAAAAAAAAAAAAAAACAACCAACTTTCCCCAAACTGGGACAAATGGCAGACAACAATGTCTCCAAGAAAAAAAAAGTGCCTAGGCAAGGAATAACAACATTTCAGCATTTGCCAATGATACCAAACTAAGAAACAGTAGTGTGGCAGTGGTAACATCACTGAAGTAATAATCCAGGAGGGCCAGGCTAAAGTTTTACAGACACTTTCAAATCCCACCATAACCGATGGATTTTAAACAAATAAAAATGAAAGCTCATCTGAGGTAGTGATCACAAGTGGAAGTGAATTAATTGTATATTTTATAAGTTGGACAACTGCATTGGCAAATGACAACTATGACATGGCCAGCAGATAGTGCTGGCTGTGTACAGAGTTGATATGTTTAGGTGCAGGATACAGCCAGTTATTGATGAGGAATTAGACTGGGGAAGGGATCTGCTGGAGCCTACATTAGCTGGTCTGCCCTCAACTGTGGCAGTAGCATAGGATAGGATATGACTAGCAACAAAAACTAATGCATTAGGACCATCTAATACCTTCTATTAGGGGCCCATCCTCTGCACAGTCTTTCACAGGACGATTCTCTTTTCCATCTTTGCTCTTGTCTTTGCTTTCAAACATCTTCCGGATTACTGAGGTAGGGGTGAATGATGGAGAAAGCTTATTTGGAAGGAGGAAAAGGAAAAGAAAAAAAGTCAGTGTAAAATTACATTGATACAAACATGCTAATTAGGCCATTCAACCCTTTTGCCTGGACTTGCTCCACCACTTGTTAAAACCATGGCTAGTCAGATTGTAACTTCAAACCAGCATTCCCAGCTATCCTGATGACCTTTTAACTCATTGATCAACAATAATCTACCTCAAAAATATTCAAACTGTTTCCTTTTAACAGGAAGGTGGCCCTTTGTTTAGAGGTAAAAGCTCTAGTTCTACAGTCTCCAGGACAGGTAGTCTCTAAATCCAGCACAAAAAAAAACAGAAGTTGCTGGAAAAGCTCAGCAGGTCTGGCAGTATCTGTGAAGAAAAAAAGTCAGTTATCGTTTCGGGTCCAGTGACACTTCCTCAGAACCAGTCTCCAAATCTAACCTGCCATCAATACCCCGCTGGATCATGGAGGGCAAGTGTGGGAAAGGGTGATTAACGGTTGTAGCTTGAGGCAATTTATTGCAACTGGTCACTTCAGACACTGTCACACCAACTGATTTGACATAGTTTTGGGTTAATCCAATTTTGCCAAAATTCTAAGTCAGGAGAAGAAGAGGAGTCAGAAAGGTTTTGCAAAATCTTGCATTGTTTCATAAACAGACAACTTCAGGGTCTTCTCTCCTTGCCCTAGATATCGTTTTGCACGGCATTTTTTGGCAGGGATAAGGATAGAAGCACCCTGCTATGCCCTCAGCAACAAGCTCCCACTGTACAATTGGGTCCTCCACCTATGAACTCATGTAGTTACAAGCCACAACAGATCACATGTAGGGCAGAACTACAGATTATTTAACTTGCTAAATGTTCTATTAAACTCGCACAATGAACATTAGTCCCAATCCCATATACCCTGCCATTTTAACCGCAGGGCTCTAGGTTGTGCATTTTGTATCAATGATGCCTCATTTTGATTCTAATTAGAATCAAAGTAACTTTGCAACCTTTCTAGAAACGCATCCAAAAGTCAGAGTCCTGAATAAAGTCTTACCATGTTTGTAAATGAGGAAGCTTGTGATGGTGATGCTGCATTGAGTCGGTGTTGACTGGCTGGCCCAGGTGATCGGCTAATTCGCTGCTGCCTAAAATCAGGATAGACAACATTACAGGATGACCCAAAACTGATACAGTAATCTGGCTTACAGACAACTAATCCAATTAGTTACAAAGAAAAAAATACTGAAGGCAGGCATTTATCTTGGCACTGAAGGCAGCACAGGAAAACCAGAATAAAAGGTTTTACTGAATAGCATAACAAGCTTAAGATAACAAGGTGTAGAGCTGGATGAACACAGCAGGCCAAGCAGCATCAGAGGAGCAGGAAGGCCGACATTTCAGGCCTAGACCCTTCTTCAGAAATGATTCTCCAGTATCTGCAGTTCCTACTATCTCTGAAACAGCAGAACAAGCTTGAAGGTCCAGATGATCTAGTGATGCTCTAATTTGTGCTTTCATATGTAAAAGCTTGTGTAAAACAATTGCTATTAGAAGTGGTAACACCAATCCATCAAACTTGTCACCTTTTTGGAGGCTACATTTGCTTCAAATACCTAGCTTTCACATCATGCTGTGGAAGTGGTCTCTTCTGACTAATTATTGCTCAATTGTAAATTTAAGCTCCATGAAAACTGATGTGGTACGATGAACACAATACTGGCTTGTAGAAGCATCAACCAATTTTGACTGTTGAGAATTAAATGGAGCAGTGTTTACATTATTATTTTAGCTATGATAACAGACAGCATGTTCTTTTGAAAATTCCATACCTGACCCTATAGCCATCCCTGTGATCATGATGCATCTTCCCATATCCAGGTTGGTAAACATCTCCACCTGGCATGTGCAAATCTTGTGCAAAGGGAAGGCCATCCATGGCACCCGGTCGCATATCCAGTTGGGATGGGCTAACAGCCTGGAGTACAAAAGCCTAGTTCAGTTTTTCAGTTCAGAGCAAAATCAATACTTGCCAAAACCTGGAACACTGAATTTGATGATTCAAAAGTTGAAGAGTTGACTATTTGACTTGACATTTAACACAAGTTAGGATAAGCAAAAGGTAAATTTGTATAAATTACAAAGCAAGCAGAATTCTGAAAATTACATACTTCAAAAAGGTTCTGTTCACTGTTAAGTGGGGGAAGATCATTTACTACATAAACATCATATTGCTCAATCACCAGCTTAAGTGCAAATTTGGTGTAGATCAAAAACAACAATTGATCAATCAAGAGTCACTGTTTGAGCATCCTTGTTTTGCATTGAAGAGAATTGGCAGCAAACTTGATCTGATCAAAAAGTTTAAAAAAAAGTTAAAAGATCTGAGCCACCCAGTGGCTGGTGGGCTTCAATTACCTGCTGTACCTTCTCACGAACAAGCCTGTACCACAACCAACCTCAAACACCAGATTGTAGTCCAACAGGACAAGATTTGAGCATTGCGTCTCAGCCAGGTGATGGAGGAGCACTCAAAGCTTGATTTAAAATCAATGTTGGTCGATAACCTGGTGTTGAGACTGACTGTCTACAGTCCAGTCATCTACATCATGACAAGTCTCAAGATTGAAAATTCAAGACAAACTAGAAATTCAAACAAACATTTTCACCAGGACAGAATAGTTGGCTGTTGAGCTTCTTAAAAAAAAGAATGCAGAGACCAGAAACAGTTTGAGCCCTGGTAAGAACCACACAATGGTGTTAAGCCTGGAAGTGTTTCTTTTTTCTTTAAGAAACTGAAAATTAGCTTACTTTATTCCCTCTGAGCAAATCAAAATCAGATGGAATTCAAATTCCAAAATACCTGTGAAGCTGGAATAGGTGATATGTTTTTGGGCAACGGTAATCCTTGGAAGTGATCGCGGATATGTGGAGCATAACCTGGAAAAACAAAAAAGCAATAAAATTGGAACAATCACTATCTGGATTTGATGGCTGTTTCTATCCTATTGATTCACAAAGTTGAAGTTTTTAGGTGTCAAATGTCTACTAGCCTTAAAAAGATCTTTTTCAATAGGGAAAAGGACCTTGATTGAAGAGGAAAAGATGACTTAAATTCACAGGATAGGGCACTGCCGCATTTATCGCCCGAGAGTTTTCTGGCCAGTTCAAAAGGTAACTCCAGATCCATAGCAATGTGGTTACGTGGAGGCCAGACCTAGTAAGGATAGCAGTTTTCTTCCATAAAGGCTATTAGTGAAATAGATTAGCTTTTTCTAACAAGTAAGAAATGGCTTCATGGTCATCAGTAGACTAAATCCAGGTTTCTATTGAACTCAAAATTCCACCATCTGCTGTGCTGGGATTCAGACCTCAAGTCTCCAGAATGTTATCTATGATCTCCGAATTACCAGTCCAGCAATGATGCCACTAGGCCATTACCTCCATGATTAGTCAGCTTTTCCAGTTTATTTTCATAAATCTTTTATGAAGAATTTCATGAAAAACTTTAATTAGATGTGTAACAATTAGCATGTTTTTCTGTAAAACAGATTTCAGATGTGGGTTTGTTCTTGCATCTCCAAATTCATTAGTGATGCAAAATAAATGGAGATCTCCAACAGCTGAACAGAGTTGATTGTTCAAAAAAGAACAAGTTTAAAAAGGGTGGTGGCTGGCTTGCTAATAAAGTTGAATTTGAAGGCCAAACCTTTTGGGAAATGCTAAGTTCCGACAGGCAACATGAAGTAGTTCTGCTGTAAAAATTACATGGATTTGAAGAGATGGAGGAAGACTACAAGACAGGAGTGGAAAAACAAACCCTATCTCTCAATGCTAAACTGGTTTAAAGGCCCACCAGATGTTAACTACAAAGTTGTGAATCAATGGTCTAAGGAAGACATTATCCTCAAGTGTCTACTCAGAAGTTCAGGACCACCAGCAACTGGAAAAAAAAAAACACGCTTCAGTTGCAAGCGAATAATTCTTTTCTAATGTCACTGGTAACTTAGCCAACAAATCAGATCCTCTGCACAGCTTTGTTTTTGCATGCTTGGTGACAGGGTGGTTGAGTGGAGGAACGTGTTTCACATTAGTAGGTAGTTCAAATATTGTTGTTTGCCAGGCTAATGGAGCCAACATTTAAGACATCCTTATGTCATGTCATAGTTAGAGCCCCAAGTGGTTTGAAAGCCATACAGCAATAGCAGGCATCCACTCCCCTCCTCCCACCACTCAAAAAAGGGTTAGCCAAATTTGATCCTTGAAATGGAAGTCAGTGGGCACAAGTTTGAAAAGCACTGGTTTGAGCTTTGATGGTACAGGGGAAATCGAAAAGTTTTAAAAACTGAAAATGTTCTTTTGACAAAAGAAAAAAACACAAAATCGCTGGAGAAACCGAGTACGTTGAATAGTGTCCGAGGGGAGAAAATAACCAGATACTACTAGGTCCAAGCTTTCATTTCAAAATTAAAATCTGCAAGACTACAGAAAGAGATTGACTTAGATGCAAGTTACAACAGAACCATCAACATATTGGGTTGGTTCAAAATCTGTTCTCTCGAACAAAATTGGAGATTTAGGATTTAACTGGATAATTGATGAGCCTCTTCCAAAACAAAAGCTTCCAGGTAGCACAGGAACCAAAAAAGATTAGTTAGTTAGTTGACACAACGTAACAATGGTTCATTTCAGATTAAAAACTATTTGAATGGGTTGTTCAAGAGGGAGGTTTGTAAGCCTTTTGGCAAAAAGGCCAGGAAATAAAAAAACAAACACTTAGGGGTCTCAGTCAAGGGGATCAGAAGTGGGAAGGTGTGACAAAGTTAAGTGTCACAACTGAACCATTTGTGGATTGAAAGAATCAAAAAATCTGTTACTAGGGACAGCAGCAATAAACATTATGGAATAAGCTGTTTCCTGGGAGAGGAGACAACTGCTTAATTATTTGCTGCCTCACAAGTGGGCAATTAAGTCTGCCTGCAGAAGGAATATTTTGCAATAAATTGGTTAATTGCAGGAAAAGCTGTTTTAGGCAGCTAAGCCCAAACGTAAAAGGAACAGGGAAGCTACTGCAGATAAGGCATCAAGCCACAGACAAGGTTCCCAGAATTATAAATAGTGTTGGGGATAAAAAGAATCTATTGAATCATTGATAATGTTACACGACAAACACAAGAACAATTGTACAAGAATTCAACACCAGAACAATTCAGTGGCAGAACTCCAAAGAACACCGCACAAGGAATGAATCCAAGACTTCCAGAAACAGACATGGCTGCTGGAATCCAGGCCAAGTTGAGTTGGGAAGCTTAATTTGCTTAGCTGAAGTGTCATATTTGGTTACTACATGCAATAAAGTTTGAATTATTGCTTCAGTATTTGATTGTTGAGATTTCTTAGTCAAGTAGTAACTCAAAGGTAATGTAGTAATTTACTCAAGGTGTGCAGAAATTAGCAGCTATTTTGCCACAAGGCCAGGCAAATCAGTAGATGCTGTAACTGAGGCGTTAACAGGAAACCTCACATCCCAAGCCCCGAGTTCACTGCACCATTACATGCTGTGACAATAGGAACCACTTCTATTGTTGAATCTGACTAGAGGTTTAAGCCCTTTTTAAAATACTTAAGCAGTGACAGGTTTACAGTCATCTTAAGTAACTGGTCTTCTTTTCATCTTTAAGAGATCCTTTATCCTTACCTACTTTTAATCTTGGAGTCCTTTGGGTTTCACTCACTTGGAAATATTTTAAGGGATTTTAAAGGGACTTTAAAAAAATCAGTTAACTGTTGCAGAAAGGGAAGACAGACAGACATGTACTTAAATAACTCCAGGAAAAAAACAATGCACATTAAAGTAATGCAAAGAACCCATCAGTAATTGGAGTTGAGGTTTTGCACTCACCAATTGGTGACTTGACTCTGAAGAACTCTGATGGGGATGGCTGCTGGAATGTTGGTATTGGAGAGGAGTGGCCTCGCTGATTTAGGGAGGTTGATGTAGAATGATTCTGGTTGCCAAGCAGGTCACCTAGAATATCTGGTGATGGAGGCCCCATTACATGGGGTGGTAGAATCTCCTGTACAAAAATTCAAAGTTTGATCCAAGCACATGAACAAAACCTTTTAACCAGAGCAAGAATGGGCCACAGACCATTTCCATCAGAAAGACTGACTTTCAGAAAAAAAGTTTAGGTCTATTCACTTCCTTCTAAATAAAGAGAATCTTAAAAGCTCATGCGAACTTGAACGGTGAATGACTTTCAAACCGTGCAGTACAAATTCAGTGCTGTGTGCCGTAGTTAAAAGTCAGAATGTGTTTTGGAACAAGTTGGAGATTCAAATACCAAAGTAACTTACAAATTGATAGGGATTGCTGATGAAAAACAAAAGGAATCCAGAACTAACAAGTGATACCACTTATATTTGGAATTTAGAAGCTAGCCATGTCCAAAACTAGATGACCAAGATTAATTCCCCTTGTGTCACAGTTCAGCAAAAAGGGAAAATAAAAACAGTAAAATGGTGGCTAAATCATTTGGATTACATTTCAGTACTAAACCATTTATTTCCCCATTACTTTTACAAAACAAAATACCTTGATTACAAACAAAACTGCCTGATCAGACTGACCAGCTTTGCTCATTGACAAATCAACTCAAGTGGAACATGCAAGAAACTTAAGCACAACACCTTTCAGTTCAGTAACCGGAGTTAAGAATGAGAAACTTTGATTAAAAGGCCTACTGGGTGCAAGGGTCACATGGTAAACTGAGTCTCAACCTAGACCTGGCACAAGAAAATATTTTCACAGTACATCACCTAAAATGCCAAAAGGGAACAGCAAACACTGAAGATCTAAAACTACAGAACAAGAGCTTTACAGCTCATCTCCACAAATATAGGAAACATTTGATGCTAAAAACATGAAAACTAAGCCACCTGTGATTGTGAGTCTTTAAAACACGAGATTTGAATACTCAACTTAAACGCAGGATACAGTGATATAAGCAAACAGTATACACCTTCAAGTAAAATTGCTGCACTTCTCCCTTGGCGGAAAATGGCTTTCAGGGTAATCAGCAAGGACTGAAACATTAGGGGCTGCAACAGGATATACAAAAGCTTATCCTACAAGAGGACTCTGCTTGCATACTATCACAACCTGGATGTACAATGTTCGAACACAAATAGCATCAATGCATTTCAGAAGCAGATGAAGTGAGCCATAGAATAGGTGCTATTGCACATGATTGAAGCCTGCAAAGCAAATTATAAAGTGAAAGGAGTATTTTAAAAAAGGAACAGATTTTCTAGCAGACACAATGAGGTTGTATTCGGCCTCAGATCCAGTGCTAGAAATGGACAATGCAGATGTGGGACTGTTGCTAAGAGAAAGGTGACAACACGACTAGAGTGGTGACAATGTAGTGTAGTCCGAAAAGGAAAGTGACACACACACAGCTAATGCTCTTGCAGGGCTTCACGAAACTGAATGGCCCCATCACCTATAACTTCACTCCGCATTCCCAATACTGAAGCAGAAGTTTGTTTCAAAAAAAAAAGTCATAACTATTAAGATGCAACATTGACTTTGTCTCAAGCTGGATTAGCTTCATCTCTAGCCTGTGTAACTGAGGCAAAGAAACTTCCAATAAGACTAACAGTGGAAGAGAAGTGAAGTAAAGGCATACCGTGAAATACTTTGGCTGTGCAGATGTGGTTACTAAGCCAAGTGTTGCAAGGTCTACTGTGGTTGACCACGCCGAAAGATAATAGGGATAATGGAATGTAAACAGCTGATATGGGCTCACAATGGAAATGGTTTACTAAGCCAGCTAGCAAGGATGTAAAGGTTAAGAGAAATAGGAGTTGAGCACTTCTGTGAGAAGATGATCTTATACACAATGTCCTAATTAAGCATGGTAAAAGAGAGAACAAGGGTTACAGAGCAGGGCAACAGCTATGAGCAAACCCAAGCCAGTGAAGAGATGAGATTTGGCATAGTAAATATACTAAAGCCAGAACTGTATCAAACTATCATCCCACAGTCACTGTGGAATCAAAGCAAATTATAAAAACTGAGCAGGACTGCTGAAACAAGTCCTACTAACAAGTCTCCGCAAAATAATGTTAGCAGTAAAGTGCAAAATTAAAGTGGCGCTACTGTCAATTAACCTTAGCTAGTTTGATGTTCAGTGTTTGCACTTGAAACACCAATTTTGGATCCTTCAACACATGACACATCAAATCACGGTTTCCAGACCACTAAATTAAAACGTAAAGAAATTAGGTCAAAGAAGTGACAAATTAGCAATAAAAATCCACTGGAGGTCTGTGAAAACAAGGGCAGTGAATTTCAGAAAGAACATCCACACGTACAAGGTCAGAAGCTTCCCAGCTGCTCACTAGAGCTTATAACTACACTGGCGTTTCAAAGAGACACCCATTTGAACTATATGCTCAAAAAAAAATTCAATAAATAAATTCACATCATCTAGGCCACTAAGAGCTTTGAAGAAGCCTCCATATTACGCAGTCAACTGAGCTTGCAATTCTAATTCAGCCAATTCTGAAGCCTATGTACACAAGTTTACTCTACCAGGCATAATAGCTGCTCAAATATTGAATAACCAAAAGGCCACAAAAAGCCTTTCATATGCTTTCCTAGAGGATGCCAGAGTGTTGAGTAAAGCTAAATGTTAGCCTAGAACAATGTTGAGGCTGCATATTCACAAGTCTCAACCATTAAGTTCTGCTCAATTTTAATAATGACTATTACTTATTATGCCCATCACTACAATCAAGTGGTCAAGCCATAACATTAAAAGATTAGTCAAAACCCGAATCTAAATAGACCATCTACTTACAGGGGGTTTTGGTTGTGAAGGCAGAGTCCCACTTGCCTTCATAGTGTTAACCAATTTATTGAAAGCAGTCATGTCCATGTCTCTTTGAGCTGGCTTGGAACCTGAAGAAGAGGTCAAAGTCTGTTCCAGATGTTCAACCATGAATGGAGTGGCAAGTTTCCTTTCTGGTTCCACTTTGAGACCCTTCAGACCTGCCTCCACTTCTTCCACAGATAACACCACTCCAGTCTGTGCTGTAAAGCAGATGACAGTTACAGAAAACCTATCGATTTCCTTCATGTTTTAAGCAATGCTTTGGGGTTAGAAAATGAGCACTGCTGTTCATGATACAAGGAAACATGCATTTTTCAAATTTAAGTGTGCAAACTGACTTCATGTTTTTCACATGGTATCAGTGCAAACTGCAGCTTTCACAAGCAGCCAGAATTGTACCAAACTACCATCCCACATTCATTGTGGAATCAAACAACTAAACTTCACATTCCCCAAGTTACGATATAGTTGTGACTCAGTCAAAAGCTCCTAACTTAGGTTAACATCTGCTTTGTCATGCTCATAATTAGAAGTTTGGAATTCAAGGTTCAGAGAAGCACCCCCCCAGTCCATAAACAGACCCAAATAGCACACAGGTTCAGCATATTCATATGATCACTGAAGCTGTACAAAAGGTCTTTTAGGATGCCATGAAGAAATCCAACAAGACAGCTTAGAAACAAAGTTTTAGAAGGGTTGGTTGGAAACTCAAAACAATGGAAAAGCAACTGGATTATTTCAGACTGCACTTCAAAGTGTTCTGAGCCAAGTATAAAAATAGACACGTACAACTCTCCTTCAGCTTCTCCTTATTGGCTGTGAGATTGGATAGCAGTGGTTTCACATCCACATTTGCTTTTCGCAGAATCTCTAGAATATCAACCTTTTTATTAACCTCCTTATTATCTTCTCTTGACTGAATGGGAGCAAAGTAGTTACCAAGTTGTGAAACAGGTGTTGGGATCCTCTGTTCCAGACCTGTCCAAAGCAAAAATAAAGCTTAGGGTTCTTTACAATGACAAAGGTTCAGCTATCAAGACCTATTCAAAATACAAAACACAATAGTACAATGTGACAGATTACATTCACATCCAAAATGCAGTCAGCCATGAAGCTAATTAAAAATTGGAGGATTGTCACCAGCATCGACAGCAATGCTGCTAGCTACTGTTGTTCATGGGAGAGGGCAGGAGTAAAGGGCAGAGACATATGGTCGTCTATGAAGCTCCTCTTCCATCTTACAAAAAGGTAGTAGCTAGCAATAATTTACAAAAGAAAATGTCAGTCAGTACTTAACTGGATGGAAAGCACTGGTTAAAAACTATTGTAATGGAAATGATGTTTATTTAAACCCAATTTCTTGATTTTGAGTTTTGAACATATTCCACTGTGCTGTGGAAGAGAATGTGAAACAGCAATGAGTCTCTAGAAATAAATTCTGTCATTAATCTAAAATGGGAGGCCTCATTTTAAAGTTATTCCCACAGGTGAAGCATTCTCAGTGTCTAACCTGTCAAGCCCCCTGGGGATCTGTTTCAACAAGATCATCTCACTGATGCTCCTTACAAATGGTTGAGATTTTCACATTCTACTTCCTTGAAATAAGAGCCATTGAATTTACCCTCCTGCTTGCTGCAACTGAATGCCAACTTGAATTTATCCTCAACTTTTCTTCCTACCAAACTATACATCATCTTCAGCTCCAACACAACCTGTTCCTTCTTCCAAGTCATTAGAATGAACAAACAGTGGATGCCCCAGCGATACCTGTGGCACAGTAGTTATGGTTAGTCAAACAATCGTTTATTCCAAATCAATTTTCTACTATCCCATCCTCTAACCACACTAATATTACTCTAATACTGGACCTTGATCTTGTAGCAAGAAAAAAAAAAAAAAAAAAAGAGACTCACTGCACTTTATTGAAGGCCTTTTGGAAACCCCATTATACCACCTCTACTGGTTCCACTGACCTGATTATAGCTAAAGCTCTAATAACTCTGTTGAGCCATTCCCCTTTCAGAGGAATGTGAACTTGACTGGATTACATTTTCCCCAATGTCCTATTATAACTCCTTAATAGCTTTCACCATTACCACAATCTCAAGTTTAGGCTAACTGACTAACCGTTGCCTACTTTAAGCAGTCTTCCTTGACCAGAACTGGTGCATTTGCAGTTTTCCAAGCCACTGGAACCATAATCAGAATCTGGGGAAGCCATGGAATACTATGAATTCACCAGTTATCACTGCACCCGCTTCTCAATCAGAACTATACCCTTAATAGATCTGCCAGCCTTTGGTTATTGCATTTTACTCAATTCCTCTTCCTATTGACTGTGGATGGGAGGATTTTCTACTCCAGCTCTCAAAATGAGAATGAAGCTTAAGTACAGGATGGAGATATACCTGAATAGATAATGCCAATGATCTTCAAAAGGACAGAAACCAAGATGTTTAAGTGACATTTGATAGGTTTGTCTTTTATTTGTACAGAATAGATTGGCAATGCCAACAATAGTTGCCCCATAGGGAGCAGATAGTGGTGGTGGCAGTGAGCACCGTCTTGAACTATAGTTCTTGTGGTGTATGACCACTAGTACTGTTAGAGATGAAGCCCGGGACTTGACTCAATGACAGCAAATGAGCCAATAATTTCAAATCAGGATTATGGGGCTTAGAGGGGAAGCTTGCAGGTGATGCTCCCATGGTCCTTTTTGGTGATAGAGTTCGTTGGTTTGGAATGGGCCAGCAAAGCATTAGCAAGCTGTGGTACAACAATGTAGATGACCCACTATAGACACGTGCGTTACTGGTAGATTGAATAAATGTTGAAGGTGATGGATGGGGTACAAGTCAAGCAGGTTACTTTTTCCAGGATAGTCATAGTTAGTGTTGTGCAGCACCCAGCTAGCAAGTGCAGAATATTCCATCATGTAAGGCACAAGTCTGAAATAGGTAAAGGGCAGGTTTTGGGCACATCTGGTGAGTTAGTTACCACAATTCCCAGCCTCTATCCTGCTCTTGTTGCCACAATATTTATGATTGGTGCAAGACAGTTTCTGGTCAGTGGTAAAACCCAGGATGTTGATAATGGGGGATTCAGTGATGATATGGCACTAAACATCACAAGTATTTAAGCTCACTTAGTAGTTGTTGCCTGACATGTGTAGCCTGAAAGTCACTTGCCAATCATTAGCCCAGGCATGGATGTTGTCCTGATCCTGCCATGGTGAGGGACTGCTACAGCATCCAACTTGTCACAAAATACTACTGAAAACTGAGCAGCTGTCAGCTGACATTCCCACTTCTGATCCTATGAAGTGGAGGGATGGTTGGTGAAGCAGTTCAAGATGTTTGGGCCTCAAGCTATTCTGCTGACAAACCCCTGCACTGACGTTTGGAGTGGGAGATAGCACCAACAAGGGATTTTGGCTGTTCGTCAGCTACACCGGACTTGAAATCAGGACCACCCCACCCCCCCCCCGACCCCGGCCCAAAATGTAATGACCTACAAACAAGTCTACTGATCTGAGATAAAGAGGTTTGATTTCCAGCAATTAAGAAATCAAGTCAAAACTCATAGCACAAATTTCAGGTTCAGGATGTTAAGTGAGCAATTAAGGCTAAATGTACTAACCCCACTAGTGGTCAGATTCAATATTGCTTCAATTGCTCAACAGCACTGTCTGTGACGAACGGAGCTGCAAGTGGTTCCAAACTGCAAGGAACAAGCACAAACTAGGTGTAGGCCATTTGGCCACTCAAGTCTGCCCTGCCATTCAACAAGGTCATGGCTGACCTGCCCCAAGTGTGAACCCCTTTCATTACAACTCAGCATAGCCCTCAACTCAATATTTTAAAAACTACCTAAATATTGTGACCTAGCCTGCACAACTCTAGGATAGAGAATTCCAGACATTCATTATTCTTGAGAAGATATTCTTTTCCATCCAGTTTTTTTAAAAAAAAAAGTGTCCCCTTATTTGGTAAGCACATCCCTACTTAAAGATTCATTCTTATTTAGGGGAACATTTCAATGGCTACCACATTAATCTCCTTCAAAATCTTAGACATCTGATCCAGCCAATTCTGTGCCTGTCACACACCAACAAAAGTTTACATGTCCAACTTTTGATGACCTCCTTCCTCAATCTAAAAAAGTTGCACCTATTATCTTAGTGACCATTGAACAACTTAGATTCAGCAAAATGAATGGTTATTCATTAGTTCTACCCATTTCTCAGAACTTAGAATGAAGGCCAGTGATTAGATAATGGATTTCAATCAGTATTTACCAAGTCCTGTAGAAATTATTCTCCAAGTTCCTCAACCTTGCTGGACCCCTTCATTCACCACAATGCAAAGATATATCCACTTTAAATTTACCACTCACTCAGCTTTCTAGGCTCCATATTGCTTCCTGGTGATCAAATTGTTCAATTTATTGCTATTTCATGATCAAAGTCAGTTTACATTTACAACTTCAAATTGGGTTGTTGGATCAAGTGTCTACAGTTTGCCTCTAAAGCAGGGTGGTTGGAACCACAGTGACAGCAGTGGTTCAAGGAGGAGGCTGGATAGGAAATGGAGGGTGTAGGACTGACTGCGGAGAATTTTTGGGCAAGTCTAATTTTGTTTCGTACAAATCCAATGTGGTTTGTCATTGGCGTTAAACTGAAATAAACAATAGAATTTAATCAGTATAAGACTGGCAGAGTTTTGAAGCTTCAAGGTGAAATAGCAGCTTAAAGGTCAGCTGAAACTGGATTCTGGGCTTTTGTCCAAAGAGCACATTAAACTAGCCAACTTAGTGAGACATTGTCAGAGTTATGTGATTCAGGAAGTAAAGTAAGAAAATTCTGAACTATTTCCACCTTCTGCTACAGAAAAGGGAGCCAGTCGATTGGAATGCATCCAAGTTATATTCTATTCCTGTAGCTCAAAGTGGCATAGCCAGTTAGCAAGAATAATGAAACATGATCTTAAAGTTGAATACAATTAAATGGTTACTTAAAACCCAAAAGGATGGCAGGAAATGTTACAGGCAATGTGTCAGTTAAAGCATGTGAGAAGTTCAAAGTTGGTTCAGAACAAACATCTTGAGCGAGTATTTGAAGTTCAAACAGTCTCAGTTCATACTTTATGATCTAGGTTGGAAACTGAGGTTGGTTACGGGGATCCAGAGGGCAGGAGCCTCAGCCTTTGCACAGACTGGACAACTGAACTTCTTTTCGCTTGTCTGGATGACTATCAAGGCTGCATGGCAGCTGAGCTAGCTGACCGTGGCACCAGGGCACATCAAGCACTCCAAAGAGGGAGAAGATCAAGAAATTCGTGATAGTAAGGGTCAGTGTAGTGAGGGGAAATAGACACTTAATGACTTCTGCTCTTTGCACACAGCAAAGGAAGGGATGGAGGGTATGAATTTAAGAGCCAACCAACAGATACAGCAAAAATTTACAATGATAAAACTAAAGGCTCTGTATCTGAACAGATACAGCTTTCAAAGTGTGTGCAAACAGAAAATGGGCAAGTACATAAATCTGGTGGCCAGAAGAGACATGGCTGCAGGATGACAACATTAGGACATGAATTTAAGGGTTACAGGAAGTTTAGGAATCACAGGTTAGAAGAAAAGAAAAAGTGGAGAAATCTCTGTTAGAGAATGGATGACCCAAGTTCAGGATAACAAGGGGTAACAGTTAGAATGACAAGGCAAGAAAAGCATCCTGTGTATCCCACAGATGATAACAGTAACTGAGTGGGACATAAAAAAGAAATGAGCTTGTCAGAAAGGAAAAGGTGATAATCATGGCAGACTTTCAGCTTCATGCAGTGTTGAATGGAAGTTACTTTGGCAAAGGTAGCCTCTGTTGGGATCCTAATCGGCTGAGATAGTTGATGCATTAGCTTTAAATTTTCAAAAACTCTTAATCCTGAGAAGGTCAACTCTTAATCCTGAGAAGGTCCCATTACACTGCAAGGTAATGCAATGTCTTTTCTTTGAATAAAGAGTTACAAGGAAAAGTTATAGGCCAGTTAGCTTAACAGTCAAATCAGGAAAATATTAGAAGTTATTAAAGTAATAGCACAGCCTATAGACAAGTTCAAAGTAACCAGGCAGATTCTAGAGAAAAAAAGTTACTGTGGATAAAGGGGGATCCAGTGGATGTGCAGTATTTTGGTTTCCAGAAGACATTTGATAAAATGCCTCCAAAACGTTAAGGAAACCAACAGCTGAGGGACAGGTATGGGTAGGTATAAAAGATTGGCTAACAGGAAGCAGCCATGTCATGCAAGTGGGTCTTTTCGGATTAGAAAGGTGAAATGAGTTGTGCGCCATTGCGGATCAGTACTGGGGCCTCAATGTTACCGTTTACATGAATGGCTTGAATTAGATGGACAATGCTAAATTTACTGACAATGATAGGAGGAAAGGAAACTGTAAAAAAAAAAAAGTTAAGTTGGCAAGGATGTGGCAAATGGCTCATGGGGCAAAGTGTATAAGTGTCTATTTTGCCAGGAATAAAAAGCAGCATATTATCTAAGTACAGAGATTGCACAGCTCAGATGTTGAGTGATTTGGGTTTCCACATACAGAAATAGTCAAGCTTACTATGCAGGTGAGCAAATTTAAGAACTCATTAATCACGAGGGGAATTAAATTCAAAAGCAGGATTCTATTCAGTTATACAGGGCACTAGTAAACCACATCTAGAATACCATTATACTATTGGTCAACTTAATAATTAATGATAATTCATTGGAAGCTGCTCAGATTCATCTGAAATTGGGAGTGGAGGGGTTATCTTGGAGGCAAGATAGTAAGGCTAGGCTTGTATCCACTAGTATTTAAAAACTGCACAGGTGACTTCACAAACCTACAAAATTCTGAGGAACCTTGACAGGGAGTAGATGTGGAGATGTTACCAGTTACAGGAGAACCTAGAACAAAAAGGGATCAACCATTTGAAGCGGAGGTATTCAAAAAAGGTGGAAGTGGAGTCCTTAAATATTTGTAAAGCAGAGATAGATCTATTCTTGATAAGGAATGGAATGAAAAGGTTAGACTAGGAGAATGTGTGTAATTCATGAAACAATCTCAGTCATGATCGTAATGACTGGAACATGCTTGTGGAGCTGAACATCTACTCCTGCTTCCAGATGGCACACCTACTAATACCCTCAGCCATGAGCAAAACTGCAAATTAGTCACTTTTAAAACAGTGAATTAGATTTGGCCCACATCAAGTCTTTACACATCAAGGTTCAAGAAAGTCTAAAGAAACAAGCTAAGCCACATTTGTCTGCATTAAGTCTTACCAGCAAGTCTTTCAAGTTCTTCATGTGGAGTAGATCGTAAACTACTGGATCGGCTACCTGGTCGACTCACGTTACTAGAGAACCACTGGCTGAACCGGCTGGATGATACTGATCCTTCACCCAGCACCTCTTCGATCATCTAAAGTTTTTAAAAGAATCCAAAGAGAAATCATTATGCCACAAATCAAACCAAATTCAAGAAGCAAACTACAGAGAAGAGCTTTGAACTTACGTCACACAGCGACTTGGCACTAAATTTGGAAGTTGAGTTTGAACTCCATTTCCCAACACGACAGATGGGGTAGCTGACTGCATCTCCACATCGCTGGCTGGCTGCTCAATTAGTGCAACAGACATCACCCCCTCCCAAAAAAATCATAACACCATTTAAGTTTCAGTAACACATCTATTCATGGTTAGTGATGGGCATAACAAATAGACATTCAATTGAGCTTTTATTGGCATCCTTAAGTGACAAATTTAGTATTCAAGGGTGCAAGCACACCAAACTGTTAGTCTAACTTCAGAATTAATGTTTCCAAATCCGAAGTAGAGTGTGGCCTTACTGGCCCTATATCCAGCAATATACACTGGATACAGATAGAAGACCAGGATTAGGAGTAGACCACAACTGATTCACGTGTGTCAACATTAAATGCAATCAGCTCATCACTGCCTCAACTCCATTTTTCTGCCAATTCACCAGCATTCCAGGAGACCAAAAAAGTGTAATTTAAGCCTGAAATGAATTTAAATAACTAAGAAAATTCTGAAGATTAACAACCCTTTCAGTGAAGAAATTTCAATCCTAAATGAATGAATCAGTCTCTTGTGCTAAGAACTGCACACCAAAAGGTTCTAAATTCTCCAGCCTCAGTTTATATTAAGCCTCTGCAGAAAGTTCATGCTTTAAATGAGATCACTATTCATTCTTCTACATCCCCAGAGAGTGCACGTGCTCAATTTACTCAGCATATTATTGGACAACCCTCTAATTCCACGGAGGAATGCAAAGGATTGTATTGTACTAGTTCTAATGGATGTGGATCTTCAATTTAAATACGGAGACCAAACTATTTAGGACTCCAACTGCGGTCTTAAGGTCTTTATTGGTCAAGACTACCCTACATGCACAATCCAAATCCCTTTTGAACAAATTAGGCCAACATACTATTTTCCTTGTAATTACTTGCTGCATCCAAGTTCAATTTCAATACAAGTTGCAAGCTTTTCTTCGAGACATTTGAACCTTACAAGTTGCTATTTGAAATGCATAGAATCAGATTTCTTGCAGCAACGGCCATTTGACCCACTGTGTCAAAACACTGACATTAGGATTCCTTGAAACAATTTTTATTTGGTCTAATTTGAAGATGTACATGCTCATACCAAACACTTCATTTCCTGAATTTTAATGCAAATACACAATCTTAAAGTTGAAGATTCATTGATGCCAGGGTGTTGAGACCTTTGGACAGTCGGTAGGTCAATACCTCTATGTTCATTTTGACTGTACCTACAATTGGATTTCTAATTTCCATGAAATTTACGGTAGTTTTATTACTTTAGGAATATACTTGTGTTAGGAGAACAGTACTTCAACAGAAAGCACTCACCACAGTGGTGAAAGCTCCCAGTGCTGAAACAACAAATCTGAAAAATCTTGGCCACGGTCAAGTCCAGAACATCTTGAACTGTTGAGCTGTTTTTAAATCTTAATTGGTTTAAGTTTTAAGGATCCTGGACAAGGTTCGAGAAGATTTGTAGCTCAGGTTGTTGAATTGCTCACCGAGTTGGTAAATTTGTTTGCAAACATTTTGTCACCATGCTAGGTAACATCCATGTGCCTCCAGTGAAGCATTGGTTTGCTGGGATGGGTAGCATCTCTTCTGGATTTATTTCTTAATGGTTGGTATACAGGGTCCAGCTCTGTTTTGTCAGTGGAGTTTTGGTTTGAGCGCCAGGCCTCCAGGAATTCTGGTCTTTGCTCGACTTGTGCTAGGATGGCGGTGTTGTCCCAGTCAAATGGCTGCCCCTCTTTGACCAGCTATCACTCATTACAATACACATGGACAAAGAGGGGCAGCCATTTGACTGGGACAACACCGCCATCCTAGGACAAGTCAAGCAAAGACAAGAATTCTTGGAGGCCTGACAGTCAAACCCGAACTCCATTAACAAAAATACATGGAGCTGGACCCTGTATACCAACCACTAAGGAACAAATCTGGCTGCGATATCACCCATCTCAGCAAACAGAGGCAAATAGCAAGCAGGACAAAACACCAATGCTTCACCAGCAGTGCAGTGATGTTACCTAACAAACTTACCAGCTCTGTGCAAGTTAACTGCAGTATCCTGGGCCCTATCTAGTCTGGTCAATAAGACTAATCCTACACTGCAGTTGAAAAATAGCCAGGAGGAACATCCGATGTTTTTGCAACAATTTAAAAACCTTTTGCTGATCCTTTTATGGACAAACTTGATCGTTACCAGAGAAAGATTGAAAATTTACAAAAAAAAAAGGAAGGTTTACCCTGGTGCTTAAGCCAGCTCAGCAAAATCAATGCACCTTTAAAGCAAAGCAAGCCTTGGTTTGCCAACATGTTGCTTGGCAACCCACAGAAAATACACAACTTTTACTTTTGACTAAAGCAGCTTGGTTACTTCCACCAATTGCTCAAACAACCCCTTCAACTAGGGACATGCATCAAGTGCAAAGTGACCAAATCAAGTTCTTTTCCCCCCATTCCATCTCAGATTTGTCACAGCTGTCAGCTAACTTGACCCACCAATCAAGCCACCTGTTCATATACCCATTTGAGTGTTCCTTTTGACCCAAGTTACACTTCTAAATCTCATGCTCAGCCAGCCATTTCCTGAGGTTTAGCACTAATATCCACAAGCAGTACTTTCTACCACAACTGTCCATGTTCCATTTGTGACCCTCAAGTTCTCAACTCTAAAAAAACATCAGAAAGAAAGCGCTGATCACTGGCTTTGTCCTTCCTAGTGCTCCACAACTTACATCACCTGTACCCAATTCTACTTTTATTAGCCCCAACCTTTCAGCATGTTCTCACACTTAATCTTCAGTTCTCTTTACAACTTCCATTATGTGCCAATATCCCACAGGAGAAACCAGATGACTGAAGTGGGAAAACTAGTTCCATACAACTGGCTGGAATCAACCTTCCAAGATGTCCTCACTGCAGCCAACACTAAATTTTTCCAATTAATTTAGGCCAAAAGCATTGCTTAGACTGGTCAGTTTGAAGTTTGACTTAAAATGTGATTTATAGACAGATTTCATGCAGGATTTGCTGTCCTTCACATCAAATAATCCAAGTCATTCTTGTCCTTGCAAGGAAGAAAAAGTCCTGGCTCATGCTCTGGATCAAAAATCCAGTCTGATATTTCACTCCACTAACCTCCCACACCTGTAATAAAATCAGCCCATTCCTTGCACTCCCACAAAGAGCACCATGGCCTCAAGTCAACTGCAATTTTTCAGCCTTCAAAATTCTAGATACGTTTCTTCCCCTCTTAAATGTTGCCATGCTCAATTTAAGAGATGACAGTTCCACAGAACAAGTGCATTAAAAACCAGTATTACCAGTTGCTTACAGAAAATAAACTAACGGTAGCATGGCACAGCCAGTTTGTTAATTCAGGGAAAAGCTCTCATATTTCGGAGAATGGATATCCAATCAACCCTACAAAAAAAAAAAAGGAAGCCAAATCCAGGGCTTATTCCCCAAGAATAATCCTCCTTGCACCACTCCTCAGCTGGAGCAGTATCAATAGCAGCTACATGGTCTGTGACCCAACCTTAGACCTCCTTCCAATCCCAAGCCCCAGTGGAACCTAAAATAGGTTAAATGGAACCACCACCCCATTAGTTACCATACATCAAGCAAAGAAATATAAAGTGGACTGTTAATCACAAATGCACAAAGCCTATAAAAGCTGATGTGCGTCAAAATCCATGTATTTCGGACATTATGGCCAACTATTACAAGATCTGCTCAAGGCAACTGATTGATGCTTCTATTGTTAAGTACAGGGAATACTGTTAAAAGGATTAAAGTTTTTTGTCAAAATACTCAAACTACTACAGGAAGAGGATTAGCATACTGAAATCAAACCAACTAATTTATGATAAGTTTATTAAAAAGCACTTAGTTCTTTGCATTTGACAGCTCCGTCTTGTATTAAAAGTAAAAAAGTTTCATGCCGTGAATGCCCACCACCTTACATGCAGTGTACTGTTGTTGTCCAATATACTTACCTTTTAAAACTACATTCCAATTGTTGGTCTTAAACAATCTTTTTAAAAGTCCAATTGACATTTGTAAACTAAGTAAACATTACAGCATTACTCCCAAAAAGGAGATGAACAGTGCTTTCACTGAATTGGTGACCACCTGCCCAGAACACCAAAAGTAATCCAAATTGTGCAATGATAAATAAATCCTCCAAACCAAGACTTGGTCATTCATGGAGAAGCAGAAAAACAGCAATAAGTGCTGATAAGGGGAAAGCATGGTAGGATTGATATCAAGTAAGCGTCAGCAACTGCAGCCTGTTAAAATTGTGCTCTTTTCCATTACAATTTTGCTAGACATTATCACCACACCCACCAATGGAGTGAGTCTATAGCCACAGCAACTTAACAAGTCAATATTCCAATAGGAAGTAAATTGGAAGGGAATGTAGATTTACATACTAACAAACAGTAGCACTTGAGATTCAGAAATGGCAGTGTACAGGATGGTATAAAAGTGTGACCAATACAACTCAAGTATGCAGCAATCTGTTGTCTAAACAAGTTAGCTTCTGGAGGATTAAAATACCATTGCACTTCTTTCCCTCACCACAACACCCAAAAACGGCAGCAGTGTCTGCTCACCAAAGCCAGTCCAGGTACGCTCTTTTCCATATTGAAGAACTCATTGAAGTCAAAATCCCCTGGTGTTTGCTCTGGTAGAACTGCCTCCTGAGGAACTTCTTGGTCAGCTTCTGTTGCAGGAACTGCGGATGATGTATCTGTCTCTTGACCACCACCATTGCATTCTGCACCTACAATGACCACAAGCTTCACTCAGTTGTCAAGCTCTATTACAGCATGACAAATCAACTTCAACTTGCTGAAGCTATAAAAAGGCATAAAAATACTGGAAGCGCAAAGTTCAATGCCCAAGGCTATGTTTCAGTAGTGGCACATCTTTTGAATTCCAACCTGGTTTTGGCACTTGCTGAATTCATTAGAGGAAAGTAGAGCTATAACTTACTGGAGCTAAATTTTGAAAGTAAATTTGTTTCATCAAGCTTTCATATGGGAATCTGACTTAAATAACAAATCATTTGCATGGTCAGCATTCAACTTCATTCCACAGCCAGGCAGTCTAAAATCAAATGAAGAAACGTTGCAACCTGAACTAGATTTACCACCGAAGCAAGGAATTATGTTCGGGTTCAGATCAACTTTGACCCCTCAATCACCCCTCCTCATTTCATAGTGATTTACATCCATGTTGTTGATTTTAACATATCCTGATGCCAGCAAGGCTTCATTAAAGAACTGTACAATGCTTGGTACAAATTGAGCATGGCCTCCTAGATGCAGTTTACAACAACTCTAACCCAAATGCAGTTCACTTAGCCGAGTCAGCTGTTAGCAAATACTTATTTTACACTATACCCATGACGCACAGCCCTTCACTGCTCTGAACCCATTTAACACCAACCAAGTTAGCTTCTTCCTTGCACCCAATCTTGAAAATTGACAGGTTCCACCTCAATGACTAACCCTGGAAGGCAATTTTGCAGCCTCAGAACTGAAGCTATCACTCTTAAGTTCAACATCTTCAATTTAGTTGCCTATGGCCCTCATCCTAGACCCTTCTATTTAAAAAAAAAAAAAAGAGATTGCTTCCATCTAAACTTCAGATACTTTTCCACTTCAAAAAAGTAGAAATTGAACTGCTTACCAAAACATTACAAGTCAACTCACACCACTCTTCAAAGTTGCAGAATAGGCCTGTTAACACCACTCAACTTGAACTTGTCAAATCTAATTCCGTTATCAAACAAGCTTACCTTCTTTAAGGATATCTGATCGTTTCCTCCACCGCTTTGGCCGCCTTGGATCCTCCAATAGTACTTTATCATCGAAGCCAGTCAGCTCAATCGTTTCTGACTGACTGGTGGGCCCAGCAGAGAACCATTCTGGTTCCTCCTCAGTGTATGAATCACATCGTCTTCGCTCACCAAAGACGCGTTTGCCATCACCATACTCCCTCTGCAAAAACAAAATCAATAACTTACCTCTGGGAAAAATTTTTCCCAGTGTTGAGGAATGAAGGCAACAATGCTCATGAATATTCAGAAACTTTAGATACTGATTTGCTGTGATGTTTATGTCCACAACTGTCACTGGGGAACCCAATTTCAAAAAGGCTACTATTCTTTAAAACAAAATGGAGGGACTTAAATAAAATACAGCAAACTTTGGTTTTAACCAGCACCCAATAAACCAGAAAAAGATTATATCTGAAATACATAAATATATTTGAGATCCAATGTCTGATTAATTAGTGAGGGCAAGTGAGAAGGTTCTCCACCAGTAAATTTTACAGCAAAGTTGCATCAGGTGTATACCCCATGCATTATGTTTGTATTTCTATGTTTTTACCTTGGTTACACGAACCTTGATTTGGAATATTGGACAACCTCGGTCCCATAGGTGCTGGTTACTAGAAGGTTTGCTGTACCAAGTTGTAAATGGAGGACAGTGGAATGATTAAATTCCATTTACATTGATCAGTAAAGGGTAACTTGCTAGGTTAAGTGACAATTTAGTGCTTAAATCTACTCAGCTTTAAGTTTTGTCAATTTAGCAGCAGCCATCAGAAAAAGAGCGCTCCTCAAATGGTTAGCTTACAGTTCCAAAGTAGCTTGGACCTTCTGAATCATGTAGCAGTTTTCAGCCTCAAAAAGTGTAGCTTTAAAAAGTGTGACTTTTGTCTCAATGCTAGTATCAATTTTACATTACATTTTAAGGTCACATGGAAGCTAATCAACTGTCTGGTCAAAACCCCAGACTGTCCTTATAGTCATCCTGTCTGATAGGGACAGGAGTCCCAGCTAACACATCCATTGTGTCACATCCCATTGTCACCCCCGCCTCAGACAGTATTAAAGCAGGCAAATCAGTTATAAGTGATCTTGAACTTATTATTCAAGCTACATTTTTCAGCCCATTGTTACTACTGACTTCTGTAATACAGAAGGTGGCATAAGTGTCAAGTGAAACACGACCAACTCTAACCCGGAAGCGTTTTTCCTTGTAATCTCTCCCTTCGCGCACATCTCTGTCTTTGTCTCGGCCATCTCGATCAAAGGTTCTTGACGCAATTATCCGTCCACTGCCAATTCGCCGCTGGGCCCCCAATCCACGGGAATTTTCATTTTCTTTATTTTCTAGTGGGCTTCCAGATCTCCGGGAGTTCGAAGTACTAATCACATGACAGCCTCCACCAAAGCTCCGGCGCTGTGGACTGAGCACAACATCAATATCTTCTTCTTTGATTCTCTCACGTGGATCTGGACACAAGACAAATAACTGTTATGGTACAGCAAGGATCTAGGAGTTCAAGAACAGCCTGCTTAAAATAATCTCGTCAACTTATCAACTCTAAAGGTGACTGCCACAAACACTCAATCTTAAGACTTAAATAAGAAGTCATTAGATGTGTAAAATGACAGTGTCAACACCATGGTCCTCAAATCAGGAGTACTTAACAGACCAGTGATTGAAAAGGGTAGCTACATGGTCTGGTTTAGCAGCAGCACACTACACAACAGGACTCAACTGCTGAATGCCTCCACCCAATCTAGAACAAACTAGCATTTTCCAATTCAAGAAATAAAAGAACCTAGTTAAACTTAGTCAGCAAGTGCAGATAGAAGCATACTTTGCCAGGTATTTTGAGAAAGAAAACAGAAGCTTTGAGAATAAACAAATGCAGTGAATCCAATAGAGATGTTCAAGTGATAAACCTCAAGGCTATAAAATTCTGAAATGACCCCCCAAAATAAAAAAAAAAAAAAAAAAAAGGGTTTCCAGCAGCACTCAAGTAGATTTACATAACTGAATGCTGCTCACTAATTTGCTAGTGACATAGCTTAATGGTCAACTCCAAGTCCATTTCTGCATTTGGCAGATCAAGAACACAGACTCACTTATGCAACAAACATGAAAAACTGCAAAGCAAGGATTTAGGAGAACTAGAACTGCATTAGTTCTATGACAAAAGGAATGAAAAGGGGTAGGGGATCACAGTGCACATGCATTAACTACTTGCAAGTGCAAACTTGGGTCTGGTTTTGGAAAGCAAGGACATGAAGCACAAGACTGGCCACAGTGCCAGTTGAGCATCCCACAATTAGATAAAAAAAGGGACCTGTCACTGATCAAGATCCCCAATTACACCAGAATGTGAATTTTGTCTACCACAAGGTGGGAATGAGCATGAAGGGCAACATTAGTTACTTGTCAGTTAATGGTCAGTCATATTCCTGAGAGTCTAGCTGTGAGGCAGACCACATAAGGATGCAAATTCCTTAAGAATTTTTGTGAACCAGAACTGTGTTTCAATGAGGATAGCTTCATGCCAGTCATTGGAGACTAGCTTAATATCCTGGCTAAAAAAACCTTTCCACTACCTGCCATGGTCAAGGTGGAACCCAATATACCTTGGAACGTTATCATTTCAACACAAGTTGAAACAATTAAACACATTATTCCATCAATTAGTATTGTTAGACTGTTCAGTTCGGGAATCAAAGGAACCACACCTATTTAAAAAATTTTTGGTCAGCTTCCCTCTTGTCCCCTTGCCCTGCAGGCAGAAAATTCTAAATCTCCATCAGTATCCTTTTTACAAGTCAGTTGCATCTGTCTCATTTAAGTCAGGCAATCTAAACCCAAAAGTTGACACAGATCAGGCTAATAAAGTGTATTCAGGAATGCTCAGCATGACAAGATCAATCAGATCCTAGGCAGGTGGACATAATGTGCATGAATAATGGAGATTCTGTCCTTGTAGACAAGCAAAAAAGATAACAATCTCTCTGCAAGATGCTAATAATTCTCACACACCATTTACCTATAAACTGCCAACTCCAACCAGTGACTGGGAGACCGAATTAGCAAGCCAAAGTACAGTGTGCATGCACAATAGAATTGTAAAGGACTTGGAAAGATGATCTACAATCAGAAGGACTCAAAGCAGAAGGACACCTAATTGAATCCCATGGAGTCATGCTACTAAAAACAGTGCTTCCTTACTTTACCTCCATCTGTAAACATAGATGTTTACATTTGTTTGTATCTGCATGTGTAGTGGTTTACATTTGTGAAATTGGTCATATTTATCCGATTAGAACAGATTTGCAATTTGTACTTTTACCACAAAAAAAGTGGTGTTTTCTGTTAAGTGGATGTGATTAGACAAGAAAACTGGGAAAGTGTGCAAGTTGATGCCATTAATTTGAAAAAGCAATGTAATTAGTACTTGGCACATGTACACACCCCATTTGATGCTGTCAAACTCAACAAGGATCACGTGAGAGCACCACTTCCTGCATGCACCCCCTCCAAGCCTTGGATGGCATTGTACTTGCTTCATTTTCACTGGCTCAAAATCCTGTAGTTGTCTAACAATAAGATCTGCTCCCATGGATTAGTGACTCAAAAAAGGAGCTCACCACTACCTTTAAGGGCAAGGATGCTGACCCTGTAAGCAACATTCATTCAGCAAATAAGAGAGTGATTGAATCAAGTCCCCTTAGCTGCCATGAGAAGATTGGTTTCAGTAGCATTGATTCAGGCCTCTGGACCTCCTGTCCAGTAAAGATCTGACCAATTCAGATGCCTCGCCCATCAAGTTAACTTGCAAGATTTTTTTAAAAACTTGAACAGTCAAGGGTCTTAATGTTCAAAATAAAAAGAAAAAAGTAGTTAGTGCCAAGTGTACTGGTTCAATACCAGGCTTTAATATCACAGGCAGGGCTGGAGAACTAAGTCACCCTAGGTTAAGGGCCAGAAGCATGATGCCAAAATAGTAGCAATAAAAGGTCATTGCTATCTTCAGACACTGGTAACGCAAAACAAATACACAGTCCACTTACAGGATATGGACTTAATGTAAGATCTTGCCACAAAAGCAAAACATCAACTATAGCAAAACAAACACAACTCTGACTCAGTCACCTGCCATTCTCCGCTTGAGAACTGCCCTGTCCAGATCTGAAGAATAATCCTTCTTTGTCCCATCTGATGGTGAACTCCTGCCCGAGCTGGGGTACAAGGATGCGTGCCATTTCTCAGGGTCCCAGATACCTTCACTATAGAATTCACAAGCACAAAAACTCAGACATGGAAATGGACTCTCATTTAACATAAACTGAGAGTTTTAAAAGCTGTTCCATACATCCTGTACACTTTGAAGCTAGGGTGTGTCAACAACCAGTGTGGCTACTCCATTCTTCAAATCCAGTTAACATGTGATAGCAAATAAACTTTACAGGATTTGGATTGAGGCTAGTTTTAGTACAGCAGGCAGACAGTTGGTCAACCATGAACAAAAACAAAGTTGCTGGAAAAGCTCAGCAGGTTTGTCAGCATCTGAGAAGGGAAAAAAAAACAAACAAACAGTTAATGTTTCAGGTCCGGTGACCCTTCCTCAGAACAGTTCTGAAGGAGGGTCACTGGACCTGAAACGTTAGCTTTTTTTCCCTTCACAGATGCTGCCAAAGTTACTGGAAAAGCTCAGCAGGTCTGTTTTTGTTCGTGATTTACAGCATCTGCAGTTCTTTCAGTTTTTAATTTAGTTGGTCAATCATGCTTGCTCGAGCAATTTCAGACAGTCCTACCTCTTGCCCATCAAGGTTAGAAAGTAACTTTTTGAAATTACTACAGCTGCATCACCACCCTTTCAGGTTGGACTGGCCACATCACAACATGCTGGGCAAAGTCATTGTCATGATATCATGTTTTTTTTAAAAAACCAATTACCTTAAATTGCTATGGCAGACTGGAGAAGTTCACTAGAGTTTCACTACACCACTGCAAAACGACTATGTAATTCAGCAGTTACCAAAAAGACCAATTAGACATTGGAACTACAGGAGGCTCAAAATAAAGATCAACAAAACAGATCTATCGGAAAGCAGACTTATCTGGCCAAGTTAATTAAATATCCAAGTGTAAGCATATACTCTTAAGAAAAAAAAAATCCCTAAAACAGCTATTCACACCAGTAAGTGGACAAAGAATTACTTGGAAAGAAATCATTTAGCCAACAGTTAGTTCTTCAAATGGGACAAAAGGAAAAAAAGGTGTGGAATACTCAGCTGTTGGCTGAACTTTCTGCATTTTCAGATAGGTGTCAAGCATGGTCAGTTGTTTCTGGAATGTGAGAATCCTATAGTGCGGAAGAGACCGTTCAGCCCATCAGATCTGCAAAGCTGTGAAGAGATACCACCCTAACTCCATCACCCCACTTGACCATGGCTAACACACAGCCTGCACACAATGGGCAATTTAAGAACAATACAGCACAGAAACAGGTCCTTCAGCAACCACCACCACCCTAAGCCAGTGCAGCCACATTTTGCCTTTTTCATAGCAAAAGGGTCTTCATTGACAGAAAAACCCATATCCCTAGTAACTGACCTCTCCACCCTGGGAAAAAGGCTCATACTTTCTACTCATTCACAATCCTTTGAACTTCTATTAGGTTGCCTCCAACCCCCTGCATTCTGGCAAAAATAAACCCAGCCTATCCAACCATTCTTCATTGCTAACATCCCAGTAAACATTTCCTGTACCCTCTCCAAAGCATCCACATCCTTCTGGTAGAGTGACGACCAGAACTATATACAATATTCCAAGTGTGGCCTGACTTAAGTTCTAAAAAGCTGCAGCACAACTTGTCTATCTTGTACTCAATGTCCCTTCCAATGAAGGCAAGCACACCATAAGCCTTACTACCTTATCTGCCTGCAGTGCCACCTTCAGTCACATGTAGGCTTGCACACCCAGATCCCTCTGCATATCAATAATCGAGGGTGCTGCCATTCACTGTATGATTTCCACCTCTACTTGACTTCCAAAATGCATCACCTCCCATTTGTCCTGATTAAACTCTGCCATTTTTCTACCCCTGCCTTCAACCGATCCATAAACTGCTGTATCCTCTGACAACCCTCCTTACTATCTGCAACTCACAAAATGAGATCAGCCATGTTTTCCTCCAGATCATTTATCTAGATTACAAACAGAGGTCCCAGCACTGATCCCTGTGGAACACCACGAGTCACAGCCCTCCATTCTGAAAAACATCCTTCCACCACTACCCTCTGTCTCCTACGATTAAGCCAGTTCCTTGCCCGCTCACCCTGTATGACCGAGTCCAGATGCTGACATCTGATTTAGCCTTTTGTACCAGTCTGCCGTGAGGCTTTACTGAAGGCCATGTAGACAGTATCAATCACTTTTCCCTCAATCATCTTAGTCACCTCAAAAACGTGAGGAAGTTAGTGAGGCATGACCTCCCCTGCACAAAACCACGCTGTGTATCATTAATAAGTCCATTTGCTTCTAAATGCTTAGATCTTGTCCGAGAATCTTTTCCAATAATTTTCCTAGCACTGATGTGGGACTCAAGTCTAATCTCCAGGATTATCCTAGCCACCCTTCTTAAATAATGAGACAACATTTGGCTATTCTCCAGTCCTCCTGACCTCACCTGTGGCCAAAGAGGATACAAAGATGTCAGCCAGTGTTCCAGGGATTTGTTCTCTCGCCTCCTTCAATATTCTGGGGAGATCCCATCAAGACTTGGGGACTTATCTACTTTAATACTAAGACAGAAAACACCTCTTCCTTTTTAATAGAAACTTGGCTTAGAAACTCAACACTCCCTTCCAAGATCATTCTCCACCAATTCCTTCTCTTTGGTGAATACCGACAAAGTATTCATTTAGGACCTCAGCTACGTCTTCTGGCTCCACATAGCTTGTCTCCTTGGTCCTTGATTGGGCCAACCCTTTCCCTAGATACGCTCTTGCTTTTTAATATATGTATAAAGACTTCAGATTCTCCTCAATCCTACTTTCTATAAGTTTATGACTCATTTTAGCCCTTCCAATTGCTTGTTTAAGTTCTTTCCTACTTTCTTTATATACTTCAATGGCTTCATCAGTTCACATCCTCTTAAACCTCACATATGCTTCCTTTTTCTTTCTGATCAAGGTCAATATCCCTGGTCATCCATGGTTCACGTAACTTGGGACTATTTCCTTCATTATTGCAGGAAGATGATGCTCCTGAACTCTTAACTGCTGTTTGAAATACTGCTACATATCCCATGCAGATTTACCCTCAGCCACCTCCCATCAAAATTCTGCAGTTCCTGCTTAATGTTCTGTAGATCGCTTTCCTCAATTTAACACCTAGGATGGACAGAGAAACTTGAACGCTCTTTCATCTGGGCTTCCTAAGTGGTTGCTGGACTTCAAGGAACGAATCAAACCCTTAAACAGCCTGGATGCACTTTTCAAAGAAAGAAATATTCTTACTGGATAATGAAGTTCTGTTTGAAAGAGATTAGATTTTAAGAAAGAAGTCGGACACTACTTTACCATTAGGTCTATCGTTGCGGAATGAAGTTTTAAATGACAATGTAATAATCTCTAAATTAGAATATTCAAGAATGTCTTTTATGATCAGATTGAATTTGATGCTTTTGGTTGGAATGAATATATTAATGCTGCGAATTCCTCCCGTTTTACTGTCTCTAAAATAAAGCGGTTTTGTTCTGTGGGTTACTATTCTATCACTACGTCTATTTTGATTCAAAATATTTTGATTCTAGAATTTGAGACGTTTTAAAACATATTGTAATTCTCATCCATAAAGATCTTGAAGGCAGGTACATTCTATATGGGAGTGTTTCTCTCAATTTTTCTCATCCAAGACGTGCAAGCCGATCTCCATGTTGGAGTTGTCACCCTGAACTATGAAGGAATCCGCACAAGAATTTCAGTTTGCCAGATAATGACAGGACACCAATTCAATAGGGAAACTGTGCACTGTATAAATTCAGAGAACTTCACCACCCATTTACAGATCCAAGGCTAGGAGACCTTCAACCAACACAAGTACCTCAGGAGCTTAGAAAGCCAGCTGGTAAGCCGCCCAAATACCACTCCAACTAGAATCACCCTACCCATTCCGACATTGGCTTGCACAGTTATGTGGAGGTGAGTGATGAAAAATCTCAGCTGCCATTGGCAGGTTCACCAGGTCGAATTAGCAACCAATCAGACTTGCTGTTAATGCTCTGGAATGCCTTCCTGGCTCCGACACAATCTTCAAATGCAGATGTAGCATTTTGAACCTAAAAACGGACATGCTCACATATCGTCCACAGCAAGGATATCTTCCCGTTACTGTGAGGTAGCACGGTGGCTCTGTAGTTAGCACTGCAGCCTCACAGCACCAGGGACACAGGTTTGATTCCACCCTCAGCGACTGTGTGGGGAGTTTGCACATTCTCCAAGTCTGCGTGGGGTTCCATCCAGTTCAAAGACGTGCAGATGAGGTGGACTGGCTGTGCTAAATTGCCCATAGAGTCCAGGGATGTGCAAGCTAGGTGGATTAGCTACAGGAAATGCAGGGTTACACAGAAAGGGTAGGGGGCAGTCTAGTTCAGTGTGGACTGAGACAAATGGTCTACTTCCACACTGTAGGGATTCTATAATTCTAAGGATAGTGCTTAAATTAAGTACTATTTGTTCAAGGAGTCCATTATTTTCATTTACTCGGGCACCCATGGTTCCTGGTAGCAATTTGAAGCAGTTTTCCTGTACTTCATCTCCATCTGTTTCTGTAGTGTCAGGGCCATTTTTCAATGAGATTAGACCATTCCTCATTTAGTACATGCACATTACAGTGATTAATAGCTGCAAGGGTGTTGGAGGTGCAACGAGGATCTTGCAGCTGCTCCTAGGATTGCATGCTTAAAGACTTATTATAGTTTTAGTACAGGCATTATATTTAACTTATAGAAAACATTTGGATAAGTCCATGAATAGGAAAGTTTTTTTTGGGGGGTGGGGATGAATATGAGCCAGCAGTAGGCAGGTGGGACTAGCTTAGTTTGGGATTATGTTTGGCATGCACTGGTTGGACCAAAAGGTCTGTTTCCGTACTGTATGACTACGACCTTCAAGGACTGCTGTTATCCCTATCTTTGGTATTATGACACTGGTACTATGACCCTTTCTGCCTTCCCCATCCAGAATGTCCTGCAGCTGCTTGGAGACATCCAGGACCCTAGTACCACGGAGGCAACACTATCCTGGTGTCTTGGCTGCAGCCACAAACACCTATTCCCCTTACAATTATAGGGGATTCAATTGTATCATTTCTATGCCTCTCTCCCTCCATCTGCAGTAGACCCAACCATGGACCATGAATTTGGCTGCTGCCATTATCCCCTATGCACGGCTGTTCCACTTAATCAGCACATCTTTGCACTGTGGAAGGAAGTCAGAGCATCTGGCAGAAATCAAGGCAGACACAAGGAAAATGTGCAAACTCCACACAATGGCCTGAGGGTGGAATTGAACTCGGCTCCCTGGCGCCGTGAGGCAGCAGTGCTAACTCAAACTTCTCTAGGATACCCTGCAGAGGATCCTTCCAGATATTCCTCAAGAGAATGATCAGTTTTCACAATCAAATTCACAAGGTTGTATCTAGCAACAACAGTACAAAGCTGGAAGGCTTCTTTTCTTGAGCCACTTGAGCACTGAATATTAGTCAAAGCAGTAAGTGAGCTGATGGCTGTAAAGTACTGTCTCCTTTGAGCAAATAATTACAAAAGACAGGTGGCTACCAGAAGTACCTTATTCAAAGTTTGCCATGTCCGGTTATGGACTTCTTACCAAACTGTTCAGTTGCCTACAATCCTTCAAACAAGTCCACTAAAACTAAAACATGAAGCCCACATAAACTGTATCTGTTAGTTACTAAATCATTGCCACCTCAAAGCCTTGCTCACATTTTCAAAACTCATTTAACACCTATTAACCCATCTCTCCATAATATCTGATCCCAGATCCCCAGCTGCTCAAGCCTGACATAGAACTTAAGTTTGTTCAATTTTGAAAAATCCAAATCCCAGGGCGCCAACCATCAAATGAGAGACTAAACCTTTTTTTGGGACACAGACCAGTCATGAACTAGAATATTAGAGCTACGTTGCTGTGCAGCTGGACTCAAGGCTCTACATTGTTGACCACCCAGTTGTATGGGTACCATTGGAGTTCACCTTCACGCAACTATAACATGGAGATTCTACCCCTCATACCTTCAATTGAGATTTTCATTATTAAAATCAGGTCACAGCACTAATGTTCAAAATTCAGGGTCAAACATGTGATTGGATTACCTAATTAAGATAGCAGAGAGCACTCCAGAGACAGCAAGTTTTCTGAAGTAAAGCTTTCGGGGTGGGTGGGGGGTAGAAGAGAAACAATCTGAAGGTGCATTCATTCATCACTTTAGAAATTTGAGCACTTCAAACTATTTTAAAAACAAATAATGCGCAAAGAGTTTTTTTTTTAAAATTTGAATGCCAAGTCAATTTAAAGAACCAGCTATGTTTATAAAACAATGATTTCAAACTGACTACATTGCTCAAATGTCATGCACTTCAGCCTGAAAGGCTTTGGAATCTACTTAGCACCAGCAATTTTCGAAGTGCTCATGTTTTAAGGTTTACCTGTCATATTTTTCCAGAAGGCATGCTGGTCTCTGCTTGGCATATGGATAGTCTTTGATTTCAAGTAATTTTTCCTGCAAGAAAAATGCACTCAAAATAATGATTTTAATGTTGTCTACATTGCATGAATACTTAAAAAAATCAGTTTTTAATTGCAAATATTTCAGAATGTATACATTAGAATATTACAGGCAAAGGACTTGCTTCAATTGTATTTAACACTGGCAGATTGACACCAAGTGTGGCATGCAGTTCTGGTCCCCTTCATCAAGGATATATAATATCACAAAAAGGAATGCAATGGAGGTTCACCATACAAATCCAGAGGTGGCAGCACTATCCTTGGAGGATAGATACAGGATTCTGGACCCACATTCTCAAGCTTTTAGCAGAATGAGTTATGTTAATACACACAATTCTATAAAAGGGACAGACAAGAGTTGATACAGGCAGTATGTTGCCCTATACCATCTTAATGGTATCTTGACTCAGAACAGTCCCAGACTAAAAGACAAGCCATTAAAAACACACCAGGATCAACTTCAGAGGGCTGTGAAACTCGGAATTTTCTACTCCAAAAGGCTGAGAAACCTAATTAATTCAGTTCACAGGTTGATAAATATATAATTT